ACCAAAAATTAAAAATTAAACCCCTTGGGAACGGATTCATCAGGTTATAGTCAGATATTTGATGAGGGATTGTAATTTACAATAGTTTTACTGATGCACATCTCTCTTGAAACGTTTAATCCTAAATTCTGTTTCTTTGTCTTATTCACAACTCAGGCTGTAACCACCCAGGCTGGAACTGTTTTATTTGATTTCGTGTATTTGGGTTTCAAAACCATTCGGGCTTGTTAACTTAAATTCTTAAAATTCCTGCTACAGTCTTATGCCTTAAAGAAACGACTTATCGACACACATGACTATAAAAAGCTCAAAGATTAAGTTGGAAACTGGTAATTACCGCCATCGCTCTGTAATGAGTTAGACTGGCAAAGTGCAGCACTGCTAGGTACCAACTGTCCAGAAGGAGAGAACTTTTTTTCTTTTTTTACACATTTTGTTTGAAGGGTTTTCTTTATTGGCTCCATTTGAAATGTTTTAAATAATTCTGTGAAGAAGAAAGATTTAAAGCCCAGAGACAATAAAATACCCACACAAGGCCTCAGAAGACTCCACAGGTTGTGTTCCCTCCCTAGGTCTTGCAGTATGTGTCCATGTTTGTATAAATTTAGCTCGGTTCAGGCTACGGTGAGCTGAAACCACCGGCGTTGCTGCAATGAGGAGTTTGAATCTTAAGCTATTTTTACTCCCTGGTTCAGAGAAATCTGATGCTGGTCTTTCCCACAGAGAGGGGAGGGTGGGAGAGGTGGAACAGAAGGGGAAAGGAAAGAGGTAGAGCTCAAAGAGGAAGCATGTCTGTCTTCCTCGGCCTCAGCTGGATGCTGTGTTGCAGACCTGAATGCACATCATCCTGTTTGCCTAGCCGGTATTGTCTCCATGGCGGCAAGGGGGGCGTATAGGAAAGTCAACATCAGGCAGAAATCAGCAAAAAGAAGTTTGAAATGATGTGCAGTCACAGAAAAAACATTTCATTTGTTCATGTGAACCCACACCAGCATTAGAGCCCTGATCTCATTTGTGTGTGGCCCAAAGCAAAGGTCACAGGGGGCAGGATTTCCAGATGTTTCCTATAATCCCACACCACCTTCCTGGTCACTCAACTCTTCTCCGTCTCTCAACTCTCAGAATGAAGAAGGAAGGTCAAAATCCGACTGATTTTATTGGCCATGCGGTTTCCACTGTTGTTTTTGTCGGGTCATTGTGGTCAGACAAGAAAAAGAAATCCAGCTGATTTTAATGTGGCCAACAACCCTATTTTCCTTAGTTTTGAAGGAAAAACCCCTCAGACCTACAGGGTATGATGCTAGTGGCCACATTCTTGTCAGATAGACTACATCATGACCACTTCCTGTCAGGGAAAATCCAGTTGGCAGGATTAGGTCAACAAAGCAGCCTCCAAAAGGAAATACCCAAAAATCTACACTAATTCAATTCAATTCAAGTTTATTTATAAAGAGCCAAATCACGACAAGAGTCGTCTCAAGGTACTTTGCATAGTAAACATTCCAATACAGGTCAGTTCATTAAGCCAACCAGTAAAAAGTTTCCTATAAAAGGAACCCAGCAGGTTGCATGACTAGTGTCAGTGACTTTATAGAAATCCTCATACTAAGCAAGCATTTAGCGACAGTGGAGAGGAAAACTCCCTTTTAACAGGAAGAAACCTCCAGAGCACCCTAGCTCAATATAAGCAGCCATCCACCACGACTCACTGGGGATGGAGAAGACAGAGCAGACACACACACACACACACACACCAACACCAGCCCACCCACACACAACATATATACCAAGTATATATTAACAACTGATATTTTCTCATTCATGTTTCAGTTTGTGTATCTGTTTCAGAGGGTGAGGGGGTGATGATGTGGAATTATTTAGTCATGCAACAGTAATGGGAATCATCTCAGAAGCGTAAATGTGTGTGTGTGTGTGTGTGTGTGTGTGTGTGTGTGTGTGTGTGTGTGTGTGTATGTGTGTGTGTGTGTGTGTGTGTGTGTGTGTGTGTGTGTGTGTGTGTGTGTGTGTGTGTGTGTGTAATAACATTTTGCAAATTGCACTATATAGAAATAAATCAAAATATTCAAGAATCCAGCTTGCATCATTTTCAGTCTATACAAAATTTGCTGATTTCATAAGCGTAAATGAGAGCGTACATGTGCATATATATCGGCAAATATTGGTTCTCGGCCATGACAGTGATAGTAATATCGGTATCGGCCCAAAAATGTTGTTTGTTTAAGTAAGAGAACAAACAGCTGAAGGGTATTATGTATAATATGAACGTGGCATGTAAACGTTGTGTCATTAAAAGAGTAAAAACTGATGTGGATTTTCTTACATTCTGATGCCAATACCGGCCGATATCATCGGACATCTCTTGGTAATTGATTTGGGAATTTGCAACTAAAACTTTGAACAGGAGTAATACTCCAATCCGAGTTTTCACACTCCCATCCCCTTCTCACGTCTCGTCCCTTCGCCTAACATGTTTCCCGCTCTCACACAGTAGATGAGCTCGTAGGAGCTGTAATTACCAGGGGATGAGAGACAAGCAGAACAGCTGAGATGCCCAAGCCGGATATCCATCTCTTTTGTGTGTCGGTGATATCGTTCTGATTGAGGAGGAGCGCTGCTCGGGGGGGCTTGAAGTCCACAGGGTGATGGAAGAACATAAAAGGAGCTGGAATATTAACCGATGATGAGATAACAGAAACGGGTGAGTCAAGTGTCAATTTGTAGGCTGGGTTACCTGAATACTCCCAGAATTATCAAAGAGCCAGGCAGAGTAAATACAAAGGCTAGGGACTTTCCTGCATCGCTAAAGGCAGGCATGTCCTTCAGACATGACGAGTCGAACATCAACATGAAACCAATTCCAGATTGCTCTAAAGTGGCTGCTGTTGAGGCAGACAGCAGAAAAGTTTGGCGGATCATAGTTCCACATGATCCGATTTTACAGATTTCACTACGATTCGGCATGAAGGACACAACGTCACTGAAGCTTTTAGCCTCGTCTTTCCGCCTGTCCACTCTATCGTCCATGCCAGATGTGGTCAGCTGTGCTTGAAATAAACACAACAGGAAGAGTGTCTCAATCTTTTAGTCATAGACTCAATCTAACGTTTTTAGTGAAGTTTCTTCTGCCCCTGTTTTCTGGTGTGTTTGTGAAAGACAATGTATACCATCACTTCTACGAGGGCCAGTGAGGCATTCTAGGACAAACGTGTGTTTGATAATCAAGACAGAAAAATCCAAAAGGAAAACTCGAGGGAACTTGTAAAAACGTTTCAACAGCAGGCTTGTTTTCATCCCCTACCGCTTCCTTCCGTCTCAGTACTCTGTGGGACAACTCATCCTCACCCCATTTACCCCCCCATCTCAAACCATACTTTATCTTTACTGAAACCATATGCTACAAGCTCCCACAGCTAGACTTCCCTTATCAACACCACAGTGAAGTGCTTGGTGACAAACCCTTGGCTCCCACTGAGCGAGAGGCAGAAGGCTTGGCCGGACCCTCAACAGGGAACGTGAGGGGCAATCTGCAAAGGATTGGCAGGGATGTGGCGACAGTGGCCGACTTCTGTTTCATCTCGTCCACGTACTACTCAATCAATGCAAACCAACAACTTCCATCATGAAAGGATTTTGCATAAGACGTTATTTCGTTTAACGCCACAAAACAAAATTGCACACTACAAACCAAGGGCATAACCGCTAAATGTTAAAATCAAGCTGATCAAATTCCACAGGCTTATCCTAATTGCAAATAACGAGCTTTGCGTTGGCGCTATGTGAGATAAATGCCACTGTATGCAAAGATGTGGTTGATAACAACCCTTAATCCAGACCGTATTTCCTCAATCTACGAGGCGTACATCAAAAGTGTGTGGTGATATAAGAGGGAGCAACTGACAGCTTTCAGATTTCTCCGATAAATCTGTGAGAGATTGGCTGAGAAACGGGTTCAGAGGGACGGAGGTCACAGTAAGTCCCTCTGCTGCCTGGTCAGCCTTGCAACAGATGATGAGCCTTCACTGGCATTTGTGCAACTGGGAGAAGGAATCATTGGCCAAGGGGTTGCCTACAAATATAAAACGTGCATGGACTGGATCGGAAAGCGCTTACATGACATGCTTTTGGGACCGACTTCCATCTGTGTGACCCAATCCCACAGTTAGACATCAGTGCAGACGACAATCTGTTTAAGGAAGTTTCTTAGCATGTGACAAGACAGCCCAGGGACAAGAAAACAGAACCAACATTGCATTTGACACAAATATCTGCCAGATGTCACAAACAGGGGGGAAAAATGTAAGGAATCATGGGAATGTTAACGGGAAGCAGCTTTTAATTGTGGATAAGAGTGATAACACTCAGGGCTTGTCTTTTAGTCTGCAGGGTGCCAAAGTAAAGTAACCAAAAACCCTATTTGCTCTAAGGCTTTACACCTGATCCTGACCTTTGACTCCTCAGCAGCAATTAGTGCTGCAATTAAAAAGAAAGAAGGTCTTTCACCATCATGTAGAATGCAACCAGATAGGGATGACCACCCACATATTTAGCCACAGCTGGAGGCCGAATCCACCTGCTCAACAATATCAGAGTCGACAAAAGGGACGAAGGGGGGTGGAGGATGACATGCGGAAGTGACAAAGTGAGTAGTCGCTTGCAGGTGGGGACGCTACCCATGCTGGCAGTGTGTAAAGTCACCAGGAGGTTCATTCACCACTCATCATCATCATCATGAGCTGTGTGTAAATAGAAAGGGCTACAACTGACGTCAGCCTTTCCACACAATGAACGGACAATTAAGACATCAGGATGAGATGCTGGACACAATCTGACAGTCTGCGTGAAACATGTGTCCAACATCCACACCCTGTTTATCCTAAAGGTGTCAAAGAAAACAGGAGGCCAGCTGAGGGTTTCTGCTCGTTGTGATGAAGGTGAGGGGAGAAAAGTGAGTGTGTGGGGTGATGAGCGTCAAAACTCACCGACTGGAGGAAAAGCAGCGTCCGGACATAATCCCGCTCGGTGTTCAGGATCTCGTTTAAAACGCAGAGCCGGAGCCGCTGCTGTCGGTCCGAGTCTTTCGGGGCTTGGATCCCGTTCTCGTGATGCCCTTCGTTTTCCTCCATGATGTTACCTGGACCCCCTGGAAAACACGCGTCTTTCCTCACGTATCCACGCGCGGATGGACTCAGTTATTTGAGTCCATCTTTCAGAAGAAACTTCTCCAGAAACCCCATCCAAAGCAGACAGGTGATGCTCGAAATAAAGTTCCCCTAAATTAAAATAAAACTGTCCAGACAAGCAAGAGAGCTCGGCTCTGTGGTCGCAAGCAGCTCCAGCTGAGAGCGAACCCAAGTCTGGAGGAGACAGCAGAGAGGAGGAGAAAGAGGAGGGACACACGCGCCAGCTACCCGCTCCTGCGCCGCTAACCAGCCACTAAACATGCCGTCATTCTTCAATAACTTATGTTTCAACATATTTTATATATTTATAAACTATACTTTCAAAGTTTTAAAGTGTTCGTGAAATTTTGTCCCGTTGTTTGTTCATTTAAAGCCGAATTTTCAGTATTTTGTATCAAAGGCTAATTTGAGAGAACAGCGCCCTCTGGTGGATGATGGTTTAGTTGCATTTTTTGTGTTATTTGTACCTCGGACCAAGGAAACATCCATTAGTGGTATTTATTGACACATTAAACCATTTTTGTCATCTCAGATGCTCATTTCTCCAGATAATTTAAAAAGTGATTGGCAACTGCAGCCTTCCATCTCTCTAGGACCTGTACGTCTCCAGAACTCGTGGGCGTGCAGGTCGGATAGCAGCTGACCCTTCTCACCCGGGTCACAGACTTTTTGAGCCGCTTCCCTCGGGCAGGAGGTTACGGTCCATCCGGACCAGAACCTCTCGCCATAAGAACAGCTTCTTTCCATCTGCCGTTAGACTTGTGAACAGCTTATAAACACACAACCATGCTCGTCTTCGGTACTTGACATAACGTAACGTTATCGGCCATATTACCTTTACCTGCCATTTTTTATAGCAAAGTTTTATGCTAGTTATTATATTTTATTCTACTTTATTCTACTCTATTCTATTATATCTATTCTATATTTAGACCACTCAGTAGGGTCACAGGGTGTCATTAGGTGAGAGGCGGGGGGCACCATGGACAGGTCTTCAGTCCATCACAGAGCTCTCTCTCTCTCTCTCTCTCTCACACACACACACACACACACACACACACACACACACACACACACACACACACACACACACACACACACACACACACACACACACACACACACAGAGATTCAAATCAACCTAGCATGCATGTTTTAGCCTGTGGAGGAAGCCGGTGATGCCTCCACACAGAAAGGCAACAGTGCAACCATGTGGCTTAACACAAATGATTATGTAATTATTGTAACAGACTATGGTTGCACGTTTGAGTCCTAAGTTAAGTCTTTACAACATTTAAAGAACAATTCAGATGTTAGAAAACAAAACATTTAAAATGTCAATAATAGTTTTAATTGATGCATGTTACATTCAATACCCAACGTGTTCCTTCCACACATAATTACAAACATACACACGCGTCCCGCCGTCTCAGATGCAGAGTGCAACGGACAACTTGTAAATGCCTTAAGCCATCGTATATTTACACATATTCCACTTCTGTACACGGCAAGTCCTTAAATACGATCCAAACATCAGAGGAGTAACAAGATACGACGTGTGGCTGATTGTGTGTAGTTTCTCTGAAGCGTATTTAATGACCTCTCCTTCCAAAAAAAAAAAAGGCGTGTGCACACAGCACTGTCATAAAAAGTGAGTCACAATTAGACATGATCCGTTAAAAACTCTGCAAAGCCTCTTCTTCAATCGTTATTTCACAAGATAAAACTCTTCCTTCAGGCGGGATTTGCTTCCAAAATGCACAAAAGTACAAAACGACAGGTAACCGACCCAAAAAAATAAAAATAAAAGAATTAAAATGTGCTCAGTGCAATAAGACTTTCCAATACATCAAGGAAAGGATGAGGTGTTTGCCCCGACCCGCCTGTGACAAATAAATTCACATTATTACAGGCAGACAGTCGGAGGGCTTGGATCAGAACCAGTGAAGTGGAGAAAATAAAATAAAAATAGCTTTTATGAAGGCAAAACTGCACATTTCTGTCATCTAAACGTAGCTGAAAGCCTGTGCAAAAGTCCTGAGCCACCTGTTATTTCTTATTATTGTGCTTCAAATAAGCCAGAAATTGTGATTATTAAAGAATCTCAACAAGCTTCCTGAAGGTTCTCTAAATATTTGCTTTTTTTTTAAACATTTTTTAACTCGTGCTTAGTCATTTAAAGCAAAATATTACAAAATAGAGGTGGCACACGACGTGTACAGTACTATATAACGTTGTTAGCTACATGCAGCATTTTGGCCATCATGTAGATCTTGGTTAGAGGAGTAAGACACTTAAAAACCACGCTATGATTCCTGTTTGCTATTACCAACGACATCAACGCCGTCTTAGATCAGCCCTGCTAACGTTAAGTGCAAACTCCGTAGCTCCAACTGCAAGGAAACCCGAGCATTACGAGTAAACCTACCTAAAGGCGCCTCGACTTACAGATTCAGGGGAAAAACTCAATTATTGTCTTGAAATCTTTCTTTTTTTTTTTTAAATGACAGAATTCCACGTTTTAAATGCAACAAGCGGGGTTTAGAAGATCCGTGAGCTCTCGTAGTGTTGACTGAATAAACAAGCAGAAAAATGGCCGTCTACACACACACACATAGTGTAGTGGTGGGATGTGTGACAGGATAGCCACAAACGCAGCAGTTGTCAAAATGATACCCACATTTGGTCAATGATAATAAAAATAAAGTCATAAATAATCAGAAAAGGAAAAAGAATATAAAAACAATCCGTGTGTGTGTGTTCAGTCTGCTTCAGACCAAGTGTGTGTTTGCACAAGGAAGACTACAGCAGGTGTCTGGATGAGAAGTATTTTATGTCTCTTAGATTTGGGGATAAATTTAAGAGCATTCTTGGCAAAGAAAACTCTGTTTCAGTAAAAAACTAAAGATTGGAGCATGAATCCAGACGTTACGGGTTTAAAAGTCCAAACAGGCCAACGGCGTTCTTAATGTATTGCATTTAAAGTGAAGCAAAGCGTGAATCTAATCAATCAGAGACACCGTCACCGCTAAACTTCAGCCGTTCCCGTCTCCGATGAGCGGCTGAAATGCAGACATGAATAGGGGATTCGTTTTTTTTTTTTACCTTGGCATGTTCGTTTGATCTCAGAGTCAAAGGCAAACAGTGCTGATATATGTATTCATATAAATACCAAAATAGTACAGTATAAATATAAAGATTCTGTGTGTGTGTGTGCGCGTGTGTGTCAGTGTTAGGACAGGACGGAGAGGACTAGAGGTGAGGCTTTCCGTCGCCGACCTCATGGAAGAGCGAGGTGTAGAACTCGGGCTCCAGCTGCTTGTTGCGGTAGCGCTGGATGATCTCGGTTATTTTGTGTTTTCGCCTCACATGTGGAGGGTTGTACAAGTCACTTTCCAGCCGCTTCCGCCTGCACACGTTGATGACGGTTTCACGCACGAGGAACCCTAGGAGGCGGAACAAAAGAACGTTAAAAATCAGCTTGGAGAAGCAGCTCGATTCTGGCTTTTAGGTACAAAGAGATGAATGTCGTCCGTTTTCTGAAAGAAAAACAAACATTCTGACTGCACTTTGACTTCGAGTGTCACCTACAAATCTAAACTCCCAACATGCATCACTCATCTTTTCCCCGTAGAAAACCGTTTTTACCTAGAGCTCGGCGGCTGACCACCATTCCGTCCACAAGGGGAATCACCATTCCAAATTTTCCTACAGCGCCGTGCAACCGGATCCTGAAGAGTCCCGTCTTCAGAGGATGAATGAAGATCAGAGGGACGTCCTTTTCCAGTAACCCTGACCTAGGGCGGAGACAACAGCAGGAGCTATTATGCCTGAAACTAAAGTTTTAACAGTAAAAACTCGACTCCAGAAGACGTTTCCGATGTTCGATTGACTTTGAATAAAAGTCGACGGTACGAGCGGAGCTTCTATAGCTTAGGTGAAGGTCTGGATATTTGTTTATTAAAATTGTACAACCATGATAACTCTGGTTCTTTCTAAAATATTATCACAGAACAACTGCCACTGCCTGCCTTTGCACACACCGTACGAGTACTTCCTGTTTTCAAAAGCAAGTCTGAGCTCAGCTTTGCTAAACGTGTTTTCAGTCTTCCTTTTTGCACCTGACAAAAACCAGCTGATAGACAAAAGGTCCCGAGCGTCGACTTCTCAGTACCTGCAGGAAGTGCTGTTGCTCAAGCTAGCCTCCAAACCCGTACTGGTTTCCGCCAAGAGATCAGACAACGGGAAGTTCTCTAGAGACACGGAGACAAAAAACATTCATGCACCAGTTCATTTAGCACAGAATCAGGGTACTATATAGGGATGCACCGGTAAAAGTTAACCGATACCAGGAACCGATACCGATGCAGTTGCTTGGAAATGGCTTCACTGTAACTTGACATTTCTGTTCACCTAATATTTTAGTTTTGTGACGATTTCCATTCATATATTTTACTTTTTTATCTACCTCACAGTCTTTTCCTGTTGAAAGCAGAGAAGAAAATAAAATCTGTATTCCAAATCATTGCATTTTATTGTGTGGTAGAAGTATAGGTATCGGTAATCGGTATCGGCGAGTACTCAGATCCAAGTATCGGTATCGTATCGGTTTGGAAAAAAGTGGTATCGTTGCATCCCTAGTACTATATACACATTTAGTACTTTATAGTACCGGTGGCTTATCATTACCAAACAGCACGAACGTACCGATGTCATCGAAGCGTTCCACCCAGACTACAAACACCTTGGTCTCGGGGCCCAGCTGGGGGTAGGACTTTCCAGTCGATGACCTCTTTGCCTTCACCAAAGGGCTCAGCTGCAGAAGCAGAAGCCTCCAGTGAGTTTCAGGAACAGAGGTTGTTTTTCATCACAGCAGCGGTCTTTACCTTTTTCACAGACTCCAGGTTCTCAGAGTGGTTGGTGAACAGGTCCAGTGTGAGACCGTGTTGTTTAGGTATACTGGTCACCAAGTCTGTGTTGGTGTCTGCCTCCATGGTGGAGTCACTGTGCACTGATGACTCCTCTACAACACATCCAGCATAAACAGTCAGGAGTTGCTGAAGCTCTCATTCACCTGTTGTTTTAGTTACTTGGGTCTTTGTGAACAAATGAATGCCTTGTGAGTCGTATTCTGCAGCGAAAAGAAGCTCTCCTGTTTTAGGGGTTAGAAGTCTGTCGGAGTGGGGGGAGGAAAACGACAGGATTGCTCATTAATACTCAAGAGATGCAAAACTCGCTACTGATTGGCTAACAGCAATGCGACTCTTCTGCTGCCTCCGTTTCCTCTTCCTTCTTAGGTAAAAGATGCAACACTGATATGTTATCTCTACAAATAACACAAGCCTGAACGTGTTCTGCCATGTTGTGGATTTGCTATTGCTAAGGTTAGCTTCTGCTAACCGAGACGCACCCTGCTCTCTCCTTCCCGTAGGTGGTCACAAGCCAGGCTGGGCGTGGCTATGAATACCAATTATCCCTGTGAAGTAGAGGAGACTGACCTTTTATTGCTAGATCGTTTTCCCGTCTATTTTCTTTTTGCTGCTGATGAAGACGATGGGGGTTAAAGAACTTTTTCATGTTCAGCATTCATACTTGGCTCAGTTGCTGATCGTATTTCACAAAGAGCACGTATTACAGTTTCTCAGTAAAGGAGACCTTTAAGTAAACTTTATATGACATAAATGATCATGTGAGGTTTGGAATACAAACCTGAACTTTCTGTTAAAGACGGAACGACAAAGGCGATCTCCGTCAGAGCATCAGCGTAGTACAAAACCTTCCTCTCTCCGTTGAAGGCTGAACCTCCCGTGTCCTCAGGCGTAGCTGCTTCCTCTACAACATTATGGATACATTTATGGGACCAATTCAAAACATAGCGCCAAATCAAAACGAGAGTCGTCTCAAGGTAATTTTACAAAGGAAACATTCCAACTGAACCTACTTATCAGTGTAGAGGTCTACCGATATTGGCTTTCCTATTGCCAGTGCAGATATGTAGTAGACGTAACCAGCCGATGGCCGATATGTAGTAGACACAACCAGCCGATGGCCGATATGTAGTAGACATGATCGGCCGATGGCCGATATGTAGTAGGCATGATCAGCCGATGGCCGATGTGTAGTAGACATGATCAGCTGATGGCCGATATGTAGTAGACACGATCAGCTGATGGCCGATGTGTAGTAGACATGATCAGCTGATGGCCGATGTGTAGTAGACATGATCAGCTGATGGCCGATATGTAGTAGACACAACCAGCCGATGGCCGATATGTAGAAGACACAACCAGCTGATGGCCGATATGTAGTAGACACAACCAGCCGATGGCCGATATGTAGTAGACATGATCGGCCGATGGCCGATATGTAGTAGGCATGATCAGCCGATGGCCGATGTGTAGTAGACGCAACCAGGTGATGGCCGATATGTAGTAGACACAACCAGCCGATGGCCGATATGTAGTAGACATGATCGGCCGATATGTAGTAGACACGATCAGCTGATGGCCGATGTGTAGTAGACATGATCAGCTGATGGCCGATGTGTAGTAGACATGATCAGCTGATGGCCGATATGTAGTAGACACAACCAGCCGATGGCCGATATGTAGTAGACGCAACCAGGTGATGGCCGATATGTAGTAGACACAACCAGCCGATGGCCGATATGTAGTAGACATGATCAGCTGATGGCCGATATGTAGTAGACATGATCAGCTGATGGCCGATATGTAGTAGACATGATCAGCTGATGGCCGATATGTAGTAGACACGATCAGCTGATGGCCGATGTGTAGTAGACATGATCAGCTGATGGCCGATATGTAGTAGACATGATCAGCTGATGGCCGATGTGTAGTAGACACGATCAGCTGATGGCCGATGTGTAGTAGACATGATCAGCTGATGGCCGATATGTAGTAGACATGATCAGCTGATGGCCGATATGTAGTAGACATGATCAGCTGATGGCCGATGTGTAGTAGACATGATCAGCTGATGGCCGATATGTAGAAATTTTTCCACCTTATTTTCATGCCAAAATGTCACTAATAACATCAGTTGATGCACACATTTAAATTAAATTAAGGGCATTATGCCAATTAGTTTGAAGTTTCCTATGGAAGGAAACCCAGCAGATTTCATCGAGTCACTGACTTGTGTCAGAGACTTTACAGCAATCTCCATACTAAGTAAGCATGTATGAAAGCTCTGCTTTAACAGGAAGAAACCTCCAGCAGAACCTGGCTCATTAATACAAAACCACCAACACCAAACAATGATTTCCCTCTCCAGTTAAGCTCAGTTAGATTACCTGCTTGTTGTAGATCGCTGTTGTCGAAGCAGGAGTTCAAGGACCAGCTGGTGTCTAGGTGTCCCGTCCACCCTGGGTGGCGTCCCACATCCACGGGCCAGCCCAGGGACAACAAGAACTCCAAAAAATGTGGCTGCACAGTAGCTGAAGACTCCACGTTCCTCAAGATCTGATTGAAAAGCAAAGTCAAAAGATGAGTACACCTGAACGCAAAATGCAAGAATAGCTTAGGGTGTAGTCCTTCACCTCAGAGCTGCTTTTCTGTCCAGCCCTCACATAGAAAATAAAAACGGTGTCAAACGGTCGGCAAGGAAGCAAGTCCAGGTAGGTGATGTCGTCAAAGAATCCTGGCAAGGATGAGTCCAGGCCAATGAGGTGAGGAGGTAGACGACTGTTGTTGGGTTCCTGTAATAGTTAATAAAGTTTTACACCAGTGTTTTCAAAGAGACAATCTCATAAAGTATTCAAAACCAGAAACGTTATCCTGACCAACCTTCAGTGCCTCTAGAGACAGAAAGCCAAAGTGGGAGAGGAAGAGGCGAGCTGTCTGAAACTCCTGTGATGGTGGGGGGGGCTTGCAGTCCGTCTGCGGGTCTGGGAAAGGCTTGGACTTCAAGATTTCCTCACTGCGTCGCTCCAACGTGCTCTCATACTCAATTTGCTTGGTCATTAAAGCGCAAAGCTTGTCGTGTTGAATTTCCAGCTGAGAAGGGGAAGCACAATGTTCTAAAGTGGGACGGAACATGTCTGACGGGACTGGAGCTGTCCCACAAGCCAGAGGTCAAGTCAAGCCAAGCAGACCCAACTCAATCCAATCCAGTTGACATCCCTTCAGGTCTTGTGCTGCTTTAATTTAAAAACATGATCTTTAACTTTCTAAAAAGTACTAATTTGACTGATAAAGCTGTACCTAAATGTCAATTACGTATCTATTAGAGGACACAGAACTGCATTTTAATATTAAAAGATAATTATCACCAAACCAGCTAATTTCACCCTTTTTACAAGAAACACCCAAATGAAGTCTTAGTAGGTTTTTAAAAAGCCAAGCGGACGTGGTTTTTCCATCCAGCCGTCTTCGTTTGAAGCTACTAGGACTCCAACACCCTGGACGATTAAAAACCTTCACCAGTGCGTTACCCAAGTGAGATCATCTTCTCTCCAACAACTTACGTGGGGGTAATTACTCATCAGTGAGCTTGTGGCTTCTGAATCATCCTCCCAGCCCAAACAACCCACCTAAGTTTGTACAATAACAAATAACGGTAATAAGAAAGACCCCAGGGCCACCGCGTATCAGTCGGGGTTCGGGTTCAACAACAAGGTTCAGCAGAGAGCTGTCCTCTCACCTCCTTACTGACAATATCATCCAGGTCAGGAATGCTGACATCCGCTTTGACCAGAGGAATTTTGTCGACTTCTTCAGGGAAAGGCCTCTGCTTGACGTTGTACTTGACGCCCTCGTCGTTGTTGGGTGTTGGACGGCCCTCCGGAACAAACATCTGACAACAGGTGGACGGAAATAAGAGAAAAGTTGTAAGATTAGATATGAAACTGGAGTTTTACATCGCCAGAGTGTCACTATGGAGTAACACGACCCTACCCTCTGACTGGCCCGAGCTCCTCTCGGTTGGTGGAAGAGCTGCATGGTCCAGGCGTGTCGTCCCGCTGTCCCCCGGATCAGAACAGTCACCGATGGACTCGGGTCTGTGAGTACAGCAGGGCTTTCGTTTATTAAGAAATCAGATGGCTAACGCGTTTTCTTCCTACCAGAACAATACTCTTTATTTGCACAAACCAAATCCGACGTTAGACCACTGACTTTGTTCATTGCCAAGCGGTTGCTCCAGCATAGCAAGGATGACAGAGTTGTCCAAGACAAAGTAGCGGAAACTGCTGACTCCTGTGGCACTTAGTCTGGCGTAGCGAATCAGTGTGTCTTCATTTAGCAGGCTGCAGGTGGAGGCGGGTCCACTGGGAGAAGGGAAGGCCCCCAACACCTGCATGATACTGGGGAACGCCACAGGAACACAAACAGGATGTGGGTCAGTAGAAGCAAAATCACCTTACGCTACACACATGGTGTGTGTGTGTGTGTGTGTGTGTGTGTGTTTAAGATTTTTCCAAAGGATTTTGTGATTTTTTTATTTGCTTTCAAACACATTTAAAAACACTGTCGTCTTTTCAAAATATCAGGAAATGCACAATGAGGCAATTTAGCAGGTAAACAAGCATTAGTAGAGATAAAGCACAGTTGAAAACGTTGGAGATAGAGAGAGACAGAGAGACAGAGCCAGAGAGAGAGAGAGAGAGAGAGAGAGAGAGAGAGAGAGACAGAGCCAGAGAGAGAGAGAGAGAGAGAGAGAGAGACAGAGCCAGAGAGAGAGAGAGAGAGAGAGACAGAGCCAGAGAGAGAGAGAGAGAGAGAGAGACAGAGCCAGAGAGAGAGAGAGAGAGAGAGAGAGAGAGAGAGAGAGAGAGGGAGAGAGAGAGACAGAGCCAGAGAGAGAGAGAGAGAGAGAGAGAGAGAGAGAGAGACAGAGCCAGAGAGAGAGAGAGAGAGAGAGAGAGAGAGAGAGACAGAGCCAGAGAGAGAGAGAGAGAGAGAGAGAGAGAGAGAGAGAGAGCCGAGAGAGAGAGAGAGAGAGAGAGAGAGAGAGAGAGAGACAGAGCCAGAGAGAGAGAGAGAGAGAGAGAGAGAGAGAGAGACAGAGCCAGAGAGAGAGAGACAGAGAGAGAGAGAGAGAGAGCCAGAGAGAGACAGAGCCAGAGAGAGAGAGAGAGAGCCAGAGAGAGAGAGAGAGAGCCAGAGAGAGAGAGAGAGAGAGAGAGAGAGAGAGAGAGAGAGAGAGAGAGAGAGACAAGAAGCCCTTTTCAGATGGACATTCTGGATTATGTGTGGACAATTCAATCCAGTTTTTAACCGGAACTGTGTTTTCAGACACACCACTTTTGTACCGGAACTGGTCCTTTCGGCTGCCTTCACACAGCAGGGAAAAGTTCCAGATGTCTGGGGGGGGGGGTGCGTCGGACTTATGTTAAGCATAATTCTGCGCACATGAAAATGCATAAGAGACCTGGATGATGAAGCTCAATGGTTAAAGGAATCACTGAAGCGGTGTGAAGCGCTCCATCGCGCGTCTATAGACGGTACCGTAGGAGGCGAGCTGCTGTGGTTCGCCGCATGTTACAGCAGCGGGCTATCTAGGTGCGCACAGCGTCCCCCGGTCCCCTCCTCCTCCCCCTCCTCCCTGTCCGGAACTCGACCTCACCAGTCTGAAGCAGCCACCCTGTCCGTAACAAGTCCGGACCTGTTACTAGGGGCTTCGTCCGGTTAAATTACGGAAAACGTTATCCGGATGTTTGTATTCAGACAGAAAGGTCTTACGGACAGAGTCCGGAACATTTCCGTTTTTCATGGCCTGTCTGAAGGGGGCTAGAGAGAGATGCAGAGAGAGAGAGAGAGATGCAGAGAGAGAGAGATGCAGAGAGAGAGAGAGAGAGAGAGAAAGAGAGATACAGAGAGAGACATATACAAAGACAGAGAGGGAGACACAAACAGAGAGAGAGAAAGAGACATATAAAGAGAGAGAGAGAGATGCAAAGAGAGAGACATACAAAGACAGAGAGAGATAGGGATAGAGAGACCGAGAAAGACGCATACAGAGAGAGAGAGACACATACAAAGACAGAGAGAGAGAGAGAGAGAGAGAGAGAGAGAGAGAGACACATACAGAGAGAAAGAGAGAGAGAGACACATACAGAGAGAAAGAGAGAGAGAGACACATACAAAGACAGACAGAGAGAGAGAGACACATACAGAGAGAAAGAGAGAGAGAGACACATACAGAGAGAAAGAGAGAGAGAGACACATACAAAGACAGACAGAGAGAGAGAGACACATACAGAGAGAAAGAGAGAGAGAGAGACACATACAAAGACAGACAGAGAGAGAGAGAGAGAGAGAGAGAGACAGAGCCAGAGAGAGAGAGAGAGAGAGAGAGAGAGAGAGAGAGAGACAGAGAGAGACAGAGAGAGAGAGAGAGAGAGACAGAGCCAGAGAGAGAGAGACAGAGCCAGAGAGAGAGAGACAGAGACAGAGACAGAGAGAGACAGAGACAGAGACAGAGACAGAGAGAGACAGAGAGAGAGACAGAGAGAGAGACAGAGACAGACAGACAGACAGACAGACAGAGAGAGAGAGAGAGAGAGAGAGAGAGAGAGAGAGAGAGAGAGAGAGAGAGAGAGGAGGATGACATACAGAACAAAAGGGAAACATCACCAGCATCCTTCTGGATGGACTCTAAAAATCCTCACCAGGACAAGGTGGCCTCAGCAGCATCCTTCACCCTCATTGAAGCTGGGTTGTGCTCCTTTTCCCCTTTATGGCGAACTTCCTGTTCGTGACGTGATTTACTGCCGGAGATTCCCAGTTCTACGATCTCCAACACTTCCACTAAACAATCCTAGAAAAATAAAAAGGTAAAAATGTTTTTGTTGAAAGAAAGTGATAAATATCTGAAACTAATTAAACTCACCTTCTCATCCAACATGTCAGGATGCTCCGTGAGCCACACACACAGGAACTGGAAGGCAGCTACGATCATGGAGTGAAGGTCTCTAGATTGGAGTGGAGCTGGACGGCTACACTGGTACACTATGTAGCCACAGACAGAGCTGACGGCCCGTTTACGCTCCCCAGAATCTACTCCCACTTTTACCTGATCAGAAGAAACCAAACAAGTTCAGATCATTAGACGCACTTTGAAGAAATCATGACATATTATGATATTATTGATTGAATACGAACACTGTTTAGCTTTACCTTAGCAAGACCAGCTAGCAGCTCCAGGGCAGCGAGTGAAATGCTCATGTCTTGTCTCCACTGGGAGTTGAGCCTCTGAGTGACGAGGTGGATGCTACGCACCAGCAGACCTGCAGCGGTATCTGGAAGAGCTAGACCATATAACACCCCAAAATACCAAACACCGCAAAAAAACAGAGCAATGCAGGGTTAAGGCGACATGGCTGGAAGGTTACACAGGATCAATGTTCAGGGTGCTCGTTTAGCAATCATCTCTTGTTTAGGACAGCATGCATTAGCAAAGTCTGGAGACGGCACAGCACACAACAATAAGCAACACGCAGGATAAAAATAAATAAACTCAGAATCAGGGCTGAGTTTTGTCACTATTTCTATAAAAAGGCATCAAAAATACATGCAGAGTAAAATTCTCATGAATAATCCAGTTATTCCTTCTTGCTAATGACAGACTTACATTACATAAATACTGTATTTTACTTTATTTTCCTATAATTACGCTCAAGTGTTTAGGCCATGACTTAATGAGGCATTTAACTTCGACCATTTAACATACTGATAACACATTTAAAGCAGCGATCCGGAGTTTTCCGCCTTTCAGGAATTACGTACGACTTTATAGAAATCGTAAAAGTGATAGTTTCACCGTAAATGTTATATGTGTGTGTGTGTGTGTGTGTGTGTGTGTGTGTGTGTGTGTGTGTGTGTGTGTGTGTGTGTGTGTGTGTGTGTGCATGAATAAACAACATAATGTGAAAATGATCATTGTAAAACAATGAGTTTTATCTCTATTGCCTGGCTAGAGGTGTGTGTTCACAGAGAGGTGATGATCTAAGGTGCGATATATTTTCCCACCTCTAGGTGGTGCAGCCTGACAAAAAACTCCAGATTTTAAACTACAAAAAGATCAGATCCAATGTATATTGAACATTTCTTGTTGACGATGAGCCTTGAAAGGAAAAATGTAAATTTCTAATAGGTTTTAACTGACCAATAATCATTTATAGTAAAATAAACTCAACAATAAAAACTGTAAAAGGACAGAACAGTGAGGTCTATACATTTTTATGCAACTGGTGTTTTTCCCTCATTTTCCGCACAGTTTACTTTACTATAGTTGATCCTTTTTATTACTTCTAGTCATGCTGTCCCTATTCAGTCCCCAGGCATTAAGGTCACCAAACATCTCAAAAACGTGACAAACAGCATCACAGCAAACAAAAAAATCACCTACAAAGACATTTCACCCAGCGCTTCTTAACGCTGCATACCGCTTTAACCACGTTAGCTATAAAGAATAAATCACTTTATTAATCCTGTTGTACTGAATATAGCAGGCAGTGAGTGCTTTTAATAATCCTGTTCAGGGTTTTCTGACCAAAGTAGCAACAGTGTTAGTCTATCAGGGGAGCAGTTCAGTGTCTCACCATAATCTCTGAGCAGCGCCTGTGCAGGGCGTTCACAGTCTGGACTGGTGGCCTCCATGCTGCCCCCACTGTTAAAGCTGATGCCGCTGTTGGTACGGCTGTGACTTTGACTCCGTAGTGTCACGTGGCTGCCATCGATGCTGCCCTGCAACCAGAGCAACACAGCGACCTCAACAACCCGTTCAGGTCTCATTTTTAAAGGAGGAGCGATCAGAGCCTTACAGTTTCGGTTTGTGCTCCGATGGACTCCAGCAATGCCGAGTCTTGCACAATATTTAACATGGCACCTAAAAGAAAAGAAAAAACAATTAACATCCTTATGCATTAAAACAGGTAAATTTGGATTTTGCATGATGAGAAGTAACAAAACCCAATAACGAGTACTAGACAGATACCCAGGATGAGTTGTGTGTTAGTGGGGTCGGTCTCGGTTTGCAGTGCTCCAATGAGGACGTTGACAAGACGGAGCCTCAGTGATAAGAAAGACACGGGCTGGTCGTGGGGCCACCCATCCTCCTCATTGAACTTCCCCTCCAACAGAACCTAAAGAACACAGGCCAGGCTCGATCAACTATTAAATCCAGCTGATTACATTAAATGGTTGTACGAAAATTTGATTTTGGCTTTTTCACCAATATCCAATATAACGATATAAACATACCAATATAAATGGGGTCCTCCTCTCATAAAAACAAAAATCATTTTAGGTAATTAACATAATCAACTTCCACTCTTGAATACTTAAAACTCTAAACCAACTTCAATTTAAGTTAGAACGGTTGTGCCAAACAAACATAAAAATCTCAAACTTTCCTCAGATCTATCGTATTCTGACATGTGTTGTTGGTGCTTTTAGATTTATCTGCCGCCTTTGACACTGTCGACCACGCAATCCTATTACAGCGACTGAAGCAGTTAATTGGCATTCATGGAACAGCTTTAGAGTGGTTCCGCTGCTATTTCAATGGCCGATGTTTTAATGTTGCCCTGGGGAATTGCGCCTCGAGGGTGGCACCTCTTTTATGTGGGGTTCCCCAGGGGTCCGTTTTAGGTCCACTTCTTTTTAATCTATATATTTTACCTTTGGCAGCCATTTTTAGAAAATTCCGGGTAAATTTTCATCTCTACGCTGCCGATTGTCAGCTTTATATGGCCCTAAAATCTGCTGACCCTGTGCAACCACTGACTAACTGCCTGAGTGAAGTCAGGTCCTGGCTCTTAGCTAATTTTCTCTATCTTAACAGCTCCAAACTGGAGGCTATTCTCTTTGCCCCCTACTCCCACTCTGCTGTGGAGCCATCTCTGCCCCCGTCATTGTCAGTTTTGGTGAAGCCAACATTTACAAATTTGGGGGTCACTCTGGACGCTTTTTTAAAAATGGATGCACAAATAAATCAGGTAGTCAAGTCGTGTTTCTTTCATCTTCGCCAACTGGCCAAACTAAAATCTGTCCTGAACAAAAAAGATCTTCAGTCAGTTGTTCGTGCTCTTGTAACGTCACGTTTGGACTATGCCAACTCTCTCTTATATGGTATTCCCTCTTCTTCAGTGGTACACCTCCAATTGGTTCAGAATGCTGCCGCAAGGTTTTTTAATGGGCATAGACCGACGGCAGCATACCACCCCTGTTTTGGCAAATTTACACTGGTTTCCAGTTCGGTTTCATATTAAAGGGGCATTATGGAAGTTTGACAGCCAAAACATGTATAGAAATAATAAATGTTTTCTTCATACATTCTCCTGCAATGCCCTGGTCCTGTAGAATGAGCCCTGGCATTTTTACTGTGATTGCCTGTTTTTCTGTAAAATCACAGAAAAAGAGAGATGCTCGGGTCGAGCAGGCTGCTTCGTGCGTGTTCACGCTCAGGCATAGCCCGTAGCATTTGCTATCCGTAGCTTTAGCAGCAGAGAGAGAGGCAGTGCCACTTTGTCGCCGTTCCTAACGCCTAGTGACAAAGCTAGCTACATTTCTGAGGACCCTTAGCTACTTTCTGTAGAACTTTCTTCTAGATATTTCCTGTAAATTAGCAACAAAATAGCCATTTTCACTCCGAATGGTATTCTGACATTTTGAATGAGAGCAAAAGTAGCTGAAGAGTTAAATGTATAATTTGTGCACAGTCTGTAAATGTTATTTAGCTAAAATGGTTTAAAACCAATAGAAATGTTCTATTACTACTTTATAAGGCAGATATCGGGCGATATTAACACACATCCCTAATGATTGCTGATTGCTAAGATTTGATTTAATCACTGTTTAAATAGTTGAATCAACATGCATCATTAAAGTTTAGGGGGAAAAAAGAAAAAGCTTAATGACAAAAATTACACATTGTCCCTTTAAGTAGTCAAACGATATTTGCAATTACTAAGACTGAATGTATTTGGTAAAAACCGGCGGTATGCTCCCAAAACACATTTAGTTTTGTTGCGAGATCTTGTTGTTCAATCAGAACGAAGGCGGTGAAAACTGCTGCTAGCTAGCAGTCGGAGTTTTGATTGCACCACGCAAAATAAATAGGGATGTCCCGTTCAGATATCGAAATCGGAAGTAATTCTATATCAGCCCAAAAACACTGTATCGGGTTATATCGGACAGCATCAAAAACCTCCGATTCAAGCAGTCAGTTAAGGTCCACATTTTTTCAACCAATGGTTAAAAAAGCCATTTTTTTCACACTTACTGTTATTGGCTCTTGTTCTCCGATTGAGTAATATCACTTGATCAAGCCTTTCATAAATTCCACACTACGAAATAGGTAAAAGTATGTATGATTTGTGCTAATATCGTATCGGATTGATATCGGTATCGGTCAATATTGAAGGCAGCAATATCGGTATTGTATCGGAAGTGAAAAAGCTGTAGAGGGACATCCCTAGAAATAAATACAGTGCACACACAAAAATCCACACCTGCCTTTAACTAATTAATCAGAAACTGAAAAATCGAAACATTCGAGTGTATCGAACCTTACACCTTTTTTATTTTAAGGATATCGTTCTATTCCGCAAACTTTTCACTTTTACTTGTTAAGCAAACATTAAGCCAGAAAATAACAATAACCCACAAAACTGCATCTTTCAACAATAATCTGAAATAACCTGAAGAGAAAGGGGAAAAGGCTCCAAGCAGAGTAAATAACTAATTCCGACAAATAATAAACACTACATTAAAATACACAATAAAGGTGAAAGACTTTACCTCTGATTTGATGTTCCCAAAGTGATGTGGCAGCGGCAGCATGGCAAGAAGAATGTTGATGGAAGCTCTCCTCAGGTCAGTAGGATTTACATACATCTTGAATTTGGACAACTCCCTAAAAAATGTAAATAAAGAAAAAATATATCCTCAAAAAGGTTAAAAACAATCAAACCTGGCAAAAAGTTTTTAACTGGTTTAAGAAGCTACCAGCCTAACCTGTCTGGCACAATAGTCTCTAAAGCAGCTATGAAATAGGGCACGACAACATTGATGCCCTTCAGGTCGGTACAGAAGAGAGACGAGGAGTTGAGAATGATGGAAGCCAGGACTGGTCTACAGATGAAATCAGAAATCTGGAGACCCTGAATAAGGACCATGTAGAACCTGCAGAGGAACAAATGAGTGTTATCTAACGTAGCTGTAGTTGCAGATAACTGCTGACATCATAGCACAAAACTGGTAAAGTCTTTTTCTACCTGGACAGGTAAACAGGAAGAATTTCCTCTCCAGTTTTTTTGCTACAGAAAATGCGACAGAGTGTCCCACAGGCCTCTGCTCTTCCGGACTCATAGCTCTCGGGAAACTCGTTGATATCAAACAACGGATTGGGCACCATGGAGTCGGTGGACATTTGGGAGCCTTTCCTTCTCAGCTCTAAACTCACTTGAGTGGCTATCGCTGTAGAAAGTGTTAAAAACAGAATGAAAGGATCTTGAATTGTCACGTGGCCAACTGCGTTCATGCATTAATGACAAACGGGCAAACACAGATAAATCTATGTAAACCATAAAAGGAAACAGTACAAATCCAGAACACGAAAGCAAAGAAGCAAACGCTGATTCACTTTTACAAAGAAGAAAAAAACACTTCAATGATTCCAAACTGACACTCACACCCTTTGAAAGCATTCGTTAACAAAACTCTGACACAAAGAGTTTGCCGAACAAGTTCAACCGACCACTGTTACAAGCACGTAAGTGCTAAACCGTGTAATTCACATGCAAGCCCACAATGCAAAGTCCCTGTGTCAGCGTCCTTGGTGTTACAGTTGTGAGACTGTCACTTAAAAGAACAAACCATTCACTTCATGCACAGAGGCACGAAAACTAGGGCTGAGCGATTTGTTGTACTATTGAAATTGTGATTTCAAACAACGCAATTATGTGATCGTCAAAGCTACGTTTCTTTACAGAGCTTCTGACTGACCCAGGATCTGTTACATCAACTACTTTACACACTGAAGGTTTTCCCCAGATGTCAAAAGTCACGGCGGTGGCAACGAGCAGCTGCAGGGGTGAAGGCGGGCGGTTGCAGTAGCCCAAAAGACGGAGCGGTAAGGATGGGTAATGATTCAAAAATGTATCGTTATCTAAATTTCTGCTTCTTCGAGATAATTTTTCCCATGTCAATAAATTTGATAATAAAAAAATGAAAAGACGTGTGTAGGTTGGCAACATTCGTGTCCCTTTAAGAAGCTCCACCACCTTGAGTCACGTAAAAACAAGTGGTGCTCGCTGCAGAACCACAAAGGCAGAGCTGCACCAGAAGGTGGAGCTGCACCAGAGTCAGCCCCACCCATTACATCAGAGTCAGTCCAATTCCTTCCAGTTGTCAGACTTGATAGCATTCTGGAACCAAAGAGGGTGTTACAGCTAAAAAATGCAAGATTGAGGACGGAGTTGAGAAGTTAATTGAACAGTTTTTGTAAAGGTTCCATATAATAAAAATTCTAACTTTTGGAACTTTTAATCATGTTATATTGTCATTTCCTCATAAGAAACACGCCAAAGCCATTTTTAGCCTCATTCATGCATTCACCTCCCATCTCAGCTTCTATTTGGTCTCCTCCCCCGAAGCGGGTCTGGTCTTGGTTCTCAAATCTGGATATTCTGTGAATTTTCGGACAAATTATTTCTGAAATAACTTCTACTGAGACACCGCCAACAAACCATACATCCCATCTCCAAAGACACACTGGGTAGCACAATTACATGTAACGCCACTTAATTTTTATCCGATGTGTTGGTGTAGTGGTTATGGAGCCAGGTTGATATGCAGTTTTGTGCAGGTTCGCCTCCCAGTTGCGGAAGCATTAGGTAGTTTACAACCTCTTTTCTTCATTTCTAGCTACACTTGCCAGTACTATGTTTACAACAATTTACTGGTATACCGTTTAACATATAATGACTGTGTTTGTTTATTTATTTGTTTATTTAGCCAGTGTGAGTCCATTTGTGAGCAGAGTTTCAACTAAAATGCTGTTTAGGAACGACCAAATTCAAAGAACTTTTAGAGACATAAATATTGTGCAGAAAATAAACATTACAACTAAAATATAAACAAATTAAATGTTTCAGCTGGATAAAAAGATTGCTGCCGACAAAAAAACACTTCAATGATTCCAAACTGACACTCACACCCTTTGAAAGCATTCGTTAACAAAACTCTGACACAAAGAGTTTCAGCTGAGGGGACAGCAAAATTTGAATCAGACAATCTTGCCACTGGACTACCAGAACAAATTTGACAGTCTTACATGCTGTTGTATCACACTTTTATTAGAGCGGCTGTGGGCAGATATTCGCTAGAAGAAGCCTTTTCATTTCGGGATATATTCAGGCTTTGTCATGTAGCAAGTTATATTTATCTTGTTTAATTGGAGCATAGAAAATAGCATTAACAATTGTAAACTAGTAAAAGCCGTAATTCATGTGGGTCAGGTTAGTTTGCGATAAAGTTGGAAAAACAAAAATGGAAGTCAGTGGGCTAGGCTGAGTTTGCGTGAATGGGCGGGACTGACTCGGGTGCAGCTCCACCTTATGGTGCAGCTCTGCCTTTGTGGTTCTGCAGCGAGCACCCTCTTCCTAAAAATGTGACTCAGTGTAATACATGTGACAGCCCCATCTAGTGGACAACTTTTGCTTCTGCGCATACCTGTAGTTATCGTCCATTTATCGTTATCAAGATGAAATGGTCAATATATCGCAATATTGATTTTAGGCCAGTAAGACGATGTGTTCCTCTTGGCTTCATCAGAACATGATCTCCTGCTTTCGCTGGCGCAGTCGCAGCCAAATGTGAAGCAGCTGGGATGAGAATCACTTCCTCTAAATCCGAGACCATGGTCTTGATTAGGAAAAGAGTAGAATGCCTTCTCCAGGTCAGGGACGAGGTCATGTCTCAAGTGGAGGAGTCTAGGTATCTCGGGGTCTTGTTCACAAGTGAGGGAAAGATAAGAGCGGGAGATCGACAGGTGGATTGGTGCTGCGTCTGCAGTGACGCAGGCATTGTACCCGTCTCCTGTGAAGGGAAAGCTGAGCCAGAAGGCAAAGCTCTCCTGTTACCGGTCAACCTACGTTCTAACCCTCATGCATGGTCATGAGCTTTGGGTAGTGACCGAAAGAACGAGATCGTGGATACAAGCGGCCTAAATGAGTTTTCTCCGCAGGGTGGCTGGGCTCTCCCTTAAAGATAGGGTCAGAAGCTTGTTCATCTGGGAGGGGCTCTGAGTAGATCTGCAGCTCCTCCACATTGAGAAAAGCCAGTAGAGGTGGCTCGGGCATCTGATTAAGATGCATTTTGGACAACTCCCTGGTGAAGTTTTCTGGGCACTTCCAACTGGGACCCAGAACACGCTGGAGGGACTATGTCTCGCGGCTGGCCATTTTGGTATTCCCCCGGAGGAGCTGGCCCAAGTAGCTGTCTGGGTCTCCCTGCTTAGGCTGCTGCCCCCACGACCTGACCCAAATAAGTGCAGAAAAATGGATGGATAAATAAATTTGGTGGCAGATCTCATCTAGTTTTTATCTTTGCAGCATTAGAGTAACAGCTTTTGAAGTTTTGATGGTGTCTTGTCGTGTTTTTAAATGTTACTGTACATTGTGAAGATTTGGCTTAAAGCTGCTTTCCAGAGATTTCCTCTTTCAGAAATGATGTATGATTTGTCAGAAATCTGTAAAAGTGATTATCTCATCATGTACTGTGATATAATATAAGCAATACGTCTTTTTTGTGTGCTAAGCACGCCTCCTGCCAGGCAGAGCTCCGTGCAATTGGAACTGAGCGCCGACCAGAACTAACCAATAGTGTTAGACTACCGCTTAGACGCTTCAAATTTAAGGAATACCTCAGCTGATGCAGAGTTGATGAACTTTTCACGGACAAGAAAGTCTCTAAAATATAAATATATGAAAACAAAACATGACATGAGAATAATACTCGTAAAACAGTGTGTTTTAGCTCTGTTTGTTACAGAAGCACATTTATGAACACAAACATGAAGTCGCCATTTTAAAAAACAAAGGAACAGCGATTTTGTGTGATACGCTTGTCAGCCACTAGATGGTGCCATTAGATAAGAGAAATACTCCGGAAAGAAGCTTTAAGGTGGATTTTAAAGAAATCATGAATTGAATTGAAATGGCAATTTCTGACAAAAAAAATTCACGATTCAATTTTTTCCTGAAATCGTTCAGCCCCAACGAAAACCAATCAAATCACAACTCAAGTAAACGGACAGAACAAAAAGGAATTACAAAAACCAAAACATTAATGCTGGAGTTGAAAAGGGGAAGGGGGGTCTGTAACACATTAAGACAGATTAGCATGAATCATAGAATGAAACCAAAATAATATGAGGTGGCGTTGTCAAAACATTGGCAACAATATAGCTGAGACAGATGGTCAGTTGGTGAAATCCATTTCATCACCTCTGGAGAAAAGCTGGAAAACTTTGAAATGTGACAAGGAATGGGGGACGTAAAAGGACGGTGGAAATGGCAATGATCATGAGGAATTCAACTGAAAAGCAGGACGATTTGTCAAGAAACGCAAAAATCAAGTGAGAAAAAAAAAAGCTGCCATTCCTACTTACAAGATTTATAAGAAAGGAGAATTTGGATAAAAGAGGCTGCAAGATAACAGAAATAGTGGAGAGAGACAAAAATCAAAGCAGATCCAGCATTTGAGGATCAAGTCATTATCAGGCATCAATTGTATTTTTGACTTTTGACTCGTTACAACTAGTGACAGTAATCAGACATGGTGGACACGTGCAGGACACTACACCAAAAAGAGAAGTATAGATGGAGAGCCAATATTCAGCCAAATTTCTTTTTGAATGATGCTCTTCGTGTCGTCACGGACTCCCCGGGAAATGGTATGAACTACAATAGGGCTGTAACAAATCACTCATATTAACTTTCAGCCTGTAGGCTCTTTTTTCCAGGTTTATGTTGTTGGGATGAGAACTGAATGGAAATCTTATATGTGGCCACTTCTAACCAAGCCCTCCACACACAGAAAGGTACGACAACATTTCTGAGGAAATGACGGAGAAAGAAAAAGGGAAAGATATCCCAACACTAAAAAATTAACACGACAAACATGTAATTCCACGCAAAAAAATACACATACTAATGAACAGCAACTTAACATCATTGCCCATGCATCAACTGGAATTCCGTTAGCCATTGAGTTCCTTTCTTACCGGTCATGCTGGGATCTCGGCTGAGGCCGCTGTGGAGTTTACAATGAACCAGAGCAGCGTCAAAGAGCCACTGACCAAACAGGTTGAGGATGCTGTTGACCTTTGGTCGTGCCGGGGCCGGTAAAGGCCGTGACTCCCAACTGCTCTGGTTGGGACTGGAGAGCAGGGTCGGCGAGGACGTCGGCTGCTGCTGCTGCGGCTGCTGCTGCTGGGACACTTTGGTTGGTTGGCCACCCTGATGAGTGGGAGAGAGGAAAGACCAAAGTATCTGAGCTTCAAATGTTCTTAACAGTTACCAGATTTTAAGGATTTCCTAAAAACAGAAACGTCGAGAGGAGCCAGTTGAGGTGGCTCGGGCATCTGGTCAGGATGCAGCCAGGACGCCTCCCTGGTGAGGTTTCCTGGCCACGTCCAACCGGGCGGAGACCCAAGGGAAGACCCAGGACACGCTGGAAGGACTATGTCTCTCGGCTGGCCAGGGAATATTTTGGGATTCCCTCGGAAGAGCTGGCCCAAGTGGCTGGGGAAAGGGAAGTCTGGGCGTCTCGGCTTTAGAGCTGAGGAAAATAATCAAATAATCGATGCATCGAGATGCGGACATAAATGATTCTGCACCGTAGAAGAGTACGGCGTAATCGATTATAGTGGAATGTAGTTTTGTTTTTTTAACGGCGGCAACTGCGCAGCATCTTAATCTGTCAGAGTGAGTGTCCTCCACATTTACCAAGTATTGTTCCGCCTTAATGTGGTACTGCAGGGCTGAGCGCTGGAGTTGTAACCCGAGACCGAACCAGAACCGAATCAGCCCGACCGGTTCTGTTGGATTTGGGATGTGAATTATGTTAATTGAGCGGGTTGTCGCACGGCGCAGTTGACCATAGTAATAACCGTCTTGTTTTTTAAAATAATATATTGTCTCTGTATATTATCCTGGTGGGTTTACCGTGGCTGCGGTGTAGGCGTGGTGACCCTTACCAGCCATCGTATCATCTGCTGAAGTTGCCGGCGGCACATGCGCACTTTGTTGTTTACAACCAAAACTTTCTTGAAGCTAAAGCTGAAATAATGGCCAAAGGAGGAGACAGCAGCACTCAGGACATTTATTATCCCTCAAAGAAGACAAAGTCGGAAGTACGGGTATTTTCTGGATATTTGAAGAATGCCAAGGGACAGTTGATAGAAGACGGCTATCCTGTTTGCAGCACGTGCAGAAAAAGTGTCTGTGAAAGGCAGCAACGCTTCAAATCTCATGACACATCTGCGTGACCATCACTCACAACTCTACAGTCAACGCAAGGCAAGCTAACGTTAGCATTTTAGCTAAAATGTGTGATCCGAGGATTTGGGTTGAGGGCGAATGCAACGAGTCGCTATATAAAGCAGCCGCAGCGCCGCTACCTGCATATAAACCGTGTCGCGGACACCCCCATGTTGAAATGACGCTATGCATTATGGGGCTCCCAGGGGCAGATAAGAGTTGGTCTCTCCGAGAATAATTATGAATTTAACAATGATTACTGCCTGATGACATTTTCCCACATCTGCAAAGCTCACTGGAAGGACACAAACCGAGGACAATATTTTCCTGATACAGGGTTTATTACTCAAGTAAGGGTAAAAAAGTATCTGATTAGAAGGCTACTTGAGTACTGAGTATCATCTGATCTAATACTTTTAAAATGATGACATCAAACAGACAAAAAATAAGAAGTTATGGGCAAATATTGGTATTTTGAATGAATGAATGAATGAATGAATGAAATCTTTATTTCGAACATTATAATAAGAATAAAAATAACTATTATAACAATAACAATAACAATAATAACAAAGTCATTGTAGACATTAAAAATAAAATCACGCTGACACAAAAATTAAATGATCATATTCTGTTCGAACAGGAGTAGGAGGAAGCTAATGCTTATTAAATCCTACCCCCCTTTTCCCATTTGTTCAAGATCAAAAGGAACAATGTCGATCTCCTAATTCATCATAAATTTTCTATATTTATCTTTAGTCAAATGGTCCATGCAAAATACTTCCACATACCTTTTCCATTTAACCACCACACACAGCGATTAACATTCCCTACAACACACACAACACACCCCATTTTCTTTTGTACACTTACATCCTCACACCACTCATTGGATCTTTTTGAGTCAAAATCCCTCTTCCTCCCTGTACCTCATGAAGACCATATTTTTGTACCACTTTCTAAATTGGGTCATACTTGGTCATTGCTTTAAATCACTATTTAACCCATTCCATAATTTTACCCCATAAACAGAGATGCACTGACTTTTTACTGTTGTTCGCACAGACGGGTATTTTAAAGACTAAAGGGGAAAAATGTAAACAAATAAACATAATTACAAAATAACAAATTTTAGGCTAAATTTAGACACATTCGGAGGACAATATTTTCCTGATATACAGGGTTTATTTAGTTGTCTGAAAATGTAACACGTTTTAAAAAAACACCACGATAATACCGAATACCGTGATAATTTTGGTCACAATTAGGGCTGCAACAAACGATTATTTGGATAATCGATGAATCGGATGGGGTCTCGACACGATTAATCGATTAATCGGATTACATAGGGACATTTTTAAAAACTGCTAGGGAAACGTTATTTTTCTCCTTCCTTCACTTTATTAAACACAACATTATTAGAAAACAGTTGAATAGCAGAAAAACAGCATGCCATCACCTAAATTGTCTTATAAGGTGTATAGACAGAGACCCTAAGCTACACCTATCTGTGACCTAAAATGCTTGGTCCAAGTTAAACAGCTTAAAGAGCAAGTCAACCCCTACCAGAGTCCAACTCCACTCCCGCTTCATGTTTGAAAAATGCAACAAATGCTGTTGCCTGGCAGACCGAGAGGGCAGAGCTGCTAACAAACACACACTCAGGCTCACGACAGCATTGTGACATCATAATGTACCAGTTTATATCATAGCATACTTCTTAGCCAATAGTGGTGGAAGATTTAAATTAAAATACAGTGCAGAGTTTTTACCTGACAACGGCACAACACTGCCAGTTTTAGGCAGAATATTTAAATTTTAACTAAGATGCACTGAAGTGCCAAATTATTGACGACACGTGTCTGCAGCACGATTAGACACTCGTTTATTTAGCTTATCAGCAAAAAAAAAGTTAATTTGGGGGTGACTTGCTAAGGGCAATTCTCATCTGTTTTGTTTGATCTCATCTGTAGACATTTATTATAATTGGGGATGTCAAACAACTAATTTTTAAATGTAATTAAACATAGGCTGTGAATTAATCACTACTTCCAAAAATGACTGAAAAAATACCAAGTAAAACAAAAGTAAATGAATGCCATCCTCCTTGCGATGATGCCCTGGGCAACTGCCATAAAGTCACATCAAGAAATGCTGCTGATCATTCCAATGATCCCAAATAGACTCACATTAGGCCACATGAAAGCAACGGAACCCAAAAATATATTAACCAGTATATAACTGCACTCTCACACAACACGCCTGCAGCAACAGTTAGGACTCCTCCCTCCCTTTTAAAAGCGTTTTCGCTTCTGAGGACATTGTGGTTGTAAAGCCACAAGCTAGTAGTCTGGCCCCGGTGTGATCAACCAGTTTCTGCGGGAATGTGACGGCGGAACCGGTTCGCAGCAGCGCGAGTTCCCCCCCCATCTAATAGCGTCGCGCTTACGATTTTATAGACCTTTTTTAACGAGCTTAGGGCATGTCTAGCCTGTGTAATAATCCGGGGCTTGGGTGAATCACTTTTGAAAAGTTTTTAACTTACCCGGACACAGAGCTCTCTCCTTCCTCGCTGATGATTCTGACATGCTTGCGTTTAAGACGCTGCATCATCACTGCAGCACTCCCGTGCCATGCTAAGTCTGACCTACAAACGTTGCAGGTAACGAAAGTCTTCGCCTGATTTAACTGAAAATGCTCCCAAACTTTAGAAGTATTTACTTTTTTGGGGTCTCGCTGCTTCTGCCATGTTCCTCTTACAAACACCTGCCGGCTCTGCGGTCTGCGCGCAACGGCGGGCGGGAGGGGAGGGGGCTTTTGGAAGAGTTGCGCAACCCAACGAATCGATGACACAATTCGTTGCCAACGCTTTTAGTAATCGATTTTCATCGAATTTATCGATTCGTTGTTGCAGCCCTAGTCACAATAACTGTGAGGTTAAATTTTCACACCGTGACAACCCTCCTAGGCACTAACTGAATGCCAACACTATATCTGCCATTAGACTTACTGTTGAAGTCTTGCTTGCAGTTTTTGTGACTCCTACATGTCGCTGCTTCCGGTTGTGAGGCGGCGTAGTGTTGGTGGTGGACGGAGGTGGGGACATGCTAATTCTGTTTACGGGGGTGGGCGGGGCGCTGTCAGCCCTGGGACGTGATATGCCTTTTAGGGGAGAGAGAGAGAGGGTCAGTACAGTACAGGATGCAGGGTAAAGAGTCCGTTCATTCCAAATGCACGTGTGTGGAGGTTAATTATTCACCGCAAATGATTTGGTGAAAGGGGAGTGAGTTAATCAAAGGTGACCTTCATTCAGAGACATGCAAGGCAATGGTTAGACATGAATCACAAAGACTTGAAACGCATCGATTCTTGATAGGCCCATGTTTAAGAGCTTGTAGTTTGAATATCCAGGATCTTTCATTTTGCTGAGCAACAAAAACCCACAATTCTTAAAGCTCCAGTGTGCAACATTTAAAGCAATCCAAGAGCAAAAAGTGATATTACAATAGAAATGGGGGATTCGGTTATTTCCTTCACCTTAAAAGGAGCCAATAAAACATAAAAGCCCTTCAGACCACTCACTGAAGGGCCAAAGCAACAACTGGCTCCAAATCAGGTCTTTTATGGGGTTTATTTTGTGGCCACAGTAAGTTTTTAACGGTAGACGGGCTCTTTCATTAGCTATCATTACATCCCACACACTGGACCTTTAACATGATCACCACAAATAAACAAAATCATATATCCAGAGAATCTCATTAAACGATGCATCAGCTGATGTCTGTACCATGAGAGAGCAGCACTGGACAAAAAGAGAACGCCCTCTCACGTACGTCTCTCTTTTCAACAGAGACACCTACAGCGCAAAGAGAAAAATACACACCGACATTTTAACTCAAAACGCTTTTTAATACAAAACACAGAACCTCCATCTTAACTTTACACAGAATCTGAGCCAAAATATCAACTGAACAGAGACAAAAACCAACTGATGATAGATTCATAAATGGTTTTAGCCCGATTACATAAAATAGTGAATTGCTTTCCTACTAAGCCTCTTTAAGAATAGGAATTCCTATGAGTTAATGATATATTTTAATGATTAACTGAGAAAATGGGTAGAAAAGTGGCATTTTAAACTGCTTCTAGTCACCAGTGCTACAATACAAATGCTTACCTGTAACTTAGTTATTAGGGTCATTTTATAAGTGAGGGTGTAACGGTCTGAAATGACTGTTTTCCACCTAAAAGCCATTTTCCCCTCTCCTCTGACACAGAACTAGTCTGCATGAGATATGGCCTCAAGGTCTCATGCATTTGCTCTAAACTGCTTCTTTCCAGCTCAAGAGAAGAATGAAGAAAGGACTCTCTCCTTTTAATAACTCAAAGAACTCTATTTTAATCAAGCTAATCAAACAAAGTGTTAGTCAATAATAAGATGTGACCAATCAGTGAAATCAAAATATTAACTACTTTATTATAATCCTATAGAAAATAATAATATGACTTTAAATGTTTCCACTAGGACTGATCTCACGTAGCGTTAAAGACATGACACGTTACTTTACTGATCCAATCAGAATCTGCCAGATCTGACGGAGGCGTGGTTTTGGTGGGGTTTAGTAAATCTGTCATCTTTTCATTCGACCATAAACCAAAACATCCGAAGTATAAAACTATGCCCACGTCATCTCTAACGCCAGTTCAAAGCGTTCTAGAGAAGTTGTCGGAGTGGCCAATTCGTAACTTTCCTCTTCAGCCGAAAGAACCAACGACAAGCTGGATAAAATCTGTTGCCGTTGCACCTGCTGCAACGGTTCCTTTCAGAATAAAAGCTGAACTCACTGACCTTCTGGGTCCATCTGACGCGGTCAACCAACTGTCGCTTTTTACCTGGAGACAATCCAAAGACTAGTCTGTCGTACTGCTGACGCCGTTTCATCGGCTCCAGTACCGAAAGAGGGGTTCAAGGACCTGGCATTCTGGATCTGTACGGAGGTCTCATTCTAAGGGTATGTGTGGAGCGACCACATGGCGTCGAATGTGTTTATGAAACTCCTAATCAAAGCTTAGCTCAAGACATCACCTTCATTCCCACTGTTTCTTCAGATTTGCTGGTTCTGAGCAACATTCCACATCACACCGTTCTCCGTCTCATTCACCTTAGTAACACCATACATTTAGTGTTAAAGTTAGTTTAATTTGTTTAGTAATACATCTTTAAACTTTTAAAACCTGACTCTCTCTTCTGTTTTCTCTGAGTTAATACGAAGTGGTTACATAACCCCTGCAATAAAAGTTCCAATCTTCTGGTTTAAAGTACCCACAGATCCATAAGGTTGATTTCATATTTACTATGGAATCTTATGTCTTATGGTTCATTAAATAACATGTAAATTAACTCATTACAAGGGTAAGAAAACTGGTTTATTAATTATCACGCAATTAGTGACCAACACACTGCAGCTCTAAAATGTATTTATAAAATGAAATGAGAGGATGAAATATTTTTGACTAACATGGGTTGTTAAAGCCTTTATTGTTATGTATAACGTCAGAGTTCCCTTTTCTTCCTACTTTAAATGTCTTTAAAAACCTAAAATGTTTTTAAATCTTGTCAAATCTTAAATAAAACTGCATAAAAGCTTCGATTTCCACCCCTCGGAGGACACTTTGTCCTTCATATCGAATCTGAATGCCAAATAACTGAACTTTTCTGATCTAATTTCAGCATCTTCTTACCCAAGAAAGCATCCACCAGGCAGCTGATGCCCCTCATGGCCCTGAAGAAGATCTGGGGCAGCTGCTTCAAGCATGGATGCAGCACCACTTCATGGGGAATTCCACTCGAGTTCAGGAACTGTTCTTGAAACTTTGGAGTGGTGCTCACTATTGCAGGGTTGCTCAGGTCCACTGGATTTCTACAAACAAAGAAAAGATGCATATTTGTGGATTAAGCAAAAAGCTTTCAGATGGCAGTGAAAACATCCGTTTGAATGATTGAAACAGTGACTGCGTAAAGATGAATACATTAACTGAGCGACAATAATGTGGAACAAAAGGTTAATTATTAAGGCCTGGGTGAAAAAGTGGTTCTGAGGGAAGTAAAATGTCTACTTCCCTGTAGTAAAAACACAAATGGATAAACTGTCATTTAGAGCTAGTCTTTTTCATGCGGGGGGGGGGGGGGGGGGGACTTGTATTGAGGACTTAGGCACCCGATCATGTGGAGAAAGCGATACCACGTCTGAGCCACGCAGTCGTTGTCCATCTCCAGCGGAATCAGGTTGGCGTCCTCGTCTGGAACTTTAAAAGGTGGAAAGGACGGTCCGTGGGTAAACCGCAAAAGCCTGGATTGGTCAGAGATGAGACAAGAACAAACAAGTTTTAAAGGGACTTTACGGAGTTTTGAATTTTTATGCTCGCGATTGCCCCCTCAGGCCAAAAGCGTAACGGCACGAGGCGCGCATGCTGTACGTGCACACTCCCGAAAATAACAGCTGAGACAGTCGTGTGTGTGTGTGTGTGTGTGTGTGTGTGTGTGTGTGTGTGTGTGTGTGTGTGTGTGTGTGTGTGTGTGTGTGTGTGTGTGTGTGTGTGTGTGTGTGTGTGTGTGGCCCGGAGGACAGAGGACAGGAGAACGCGCAGCTAATTAATTAAATAATTTGGTTCTGTACCTTTCTCTTCAGCACAGCCGACAAAGGTTTAAGATGGGTCAGTCCTCCTGCATGCTCAGATCATTCCCTTCCCTTGCTTGAAAAATTGTTCCAAAATGAAAGTTGAACCCACATCTTTTTTATCTGTGAATTCAATGCCGTTCGGCGAGTCTCAAATAAAAATTTGGGCATCTTACTGTAAAAAAATATACCATTAATGTAAAAAAGAAACTCTAAATGAACTATGTTCACATCCAGAATCAAACCCAGGTCTTCTGTGTGAGAGTCAGACATCTTACTAGGTGAGCTAAAGCGCCAGTGACGTCTTCTGTATCTGTAACATTTATATCGTTGATGACAGCTGAAACAACGTTCAAAGAACGGTTCGGAGCGAAAATGGCTATTTTGTTGCTAATTTGCAGGAAATATCTAGAAGAAAGTTCTACAGAAAGTAGCTAAGGGTCCTCAGAAATGTAGCTAGCTTTGTCACTAGGCGTTAGGAACAGCGACAAAGTGGCACTACCTCTCTCTCTGCTGCTAAAGCTACGGATAGCAAATGCTACGAGCTATGCCTGAGCGTGAACGCGCATGAAGCAGCCTGCTCGACCCGAGCAGCTCTCTTTTTCTGTGATTTTACAGAAAAACAGGCAATCACAGTAAAAATGCCAGGGCTCATTCTACAGGACCAGGGCATTGCAGGAGAATGTATCAAGAAGAAATTTATTATTTCTATACATGTTTTGGCTGTCAAACTTCCATAACGTCCCTTTAAAACTAAGTCATAAAGATCCACAGCTGTTCTGATCATTGGTGCAGTTTTAGTTTTGTTCACGTCTTCATTCCCTTCAGGCAACAGATTCAATCAAACCCATTAAGAGAACCCACTCTCACCTTGAAGTCAGAGCACAAGCAACTCTGCTCCACTGCTCTATGACAGGAGGGTGATGTCTCCAGTTGGACAGCATTTCTCTTGCCGTCTTCCAATATGGCGGCGTGGGAAAGCAGCGCGCGCACGCGAGCAGCCACACCTCAAACAGCACCGCCATCAATTTCTCTGCCAGTTTCTCTGCGACCCCCACTAACAACATAAGAAACATCCTAGTTAGAACTCATAATGACTGAGTGAATAACTCAAAGTTGGCCTTACCGCCGACTGACGGTGGCGCAAGCAACGTGTCGTTGATGCGGAGCAGGAAAAGCAACAGAACCTCCCAGGTTTCCCTCGCCATGGAAACAGACTCCCGCGCCAGCTTCTGGACCGCCGTCAGGACCTGCTGGCAGAGCCTGATGTGGTTCAGACTGTGCTGTTCAGGCCTGGAGGTTCAAAACAGTCATGAGGACACGTTCAGGAAAGGATCGATCCTCTCTTGGCACCAAACTTCAGTCGCTGCACATTTAAACCGCAGCACCAGAATGTAAAAGTTGAGATCCTCTGAAACCCTTTCCAATTTACCTTGGCACAAAGACGTTGTAGAGATGTCTGAGAATGGTCTGGACATACAAGTTGGGCTCCTTCACCACAGGCTGTGGCATCGAGTCCCGAGGCGACACCAGGGCCATCATCCAGTCCGTGTACACATCCACACACAGCTTGACGGTGTCCCCCTCTAAGGGGAGGGTCAGGCCGTAACAAAGCACCTCCATGGTCCACTTCACCTGAAAACAAACAAGTTCCTTTTAGATACGAGTCACTGGTTTAATGTAGCGTTTGGGTTTGGAGCATCAGCCGGAGTCATGTTTACAAAGACTCATAAATCTAAACACTATTATTGTACCATGCTTGGGCGACACTACAACGCTATGTTGGCAGTCAGAACTATCCCACATGGGTGATAATGAGAAGTTTAGTACTTCTGATTTACCTTCAAGAAACAATAAGGACCAAAGGTTTGGGTTAAAATGATGACCGCTACAAAAAAAAAAAAAGCTGATCTCTTGTAAAGTTTCCTAATCTCCAACTCAATAAAAGGGATTTTTTCAAATGAAAAGCCAAATTTTTACCATGATAGGTACACGTAATCATCAGCCTTTCAGCATAAAATACAACAAAAAAGGCCCAGCATGCTTCACTCCAACGTTTTTCATCTGGACTTCTAAAGGGCTTATTTCATGCAGAGCCAACTTTTACGAGGTTTTTGGCTTCATGCATGCACCCTGCTGCTGCTGGTCCAGCTGGCTATTGCAAACGAATGGATAGGACAGGTTTGCATCGTCCTGTCCTGCTCCTCCCAATCGAGGCAGTGCCTTCCATTGCACCCATGCTGCTATCAGACACACGCCGTCACACATTTAATTGAAGCTCACTATAAGCTCACTATAAGCTCACTACTAGCACACAGCAGCGTGTAGTTAAATGCACGACTGATTTCTAGACACACAAAAAGATATGTCTCTGGCTTTCAATGGCCAGCCATAATGACACGAATAAGCTGAATAGGAATGAAAAAAAAATCCTATTGAATGGAAATGAGAAGCAATCATTTTGCATTTCAGGGACAGAAAAACTGCAGCCTAATAACTCCTTAATAATTTGAGATTTGATTGGGTTGTACATTTCACTCAGTTAAATTTAAAGTCAACATAAATCATGCAACCTTTGTAGCACTTAGCATTTGCCTTTCCATTAAATTGTAGATTAGCTACAAGAAAATATCTCTGAGTGAGACATGAAATATCTAATGGACCATAATGGACTTCAAGCATGGAGAAAAAACGTTTTACCTTAATGTAAAAAGCCGCTCCAAACACGAGCCCTACATCGCTTTAGTCAAACATTCTGCCGTATTTCTAACATATGAACTGAGAATTTAGAAAGAACACAATAAATGGTGGGTAAAGCAAAACAAAGAGATTATATTGGAAGTTCTGCTTGAGAGCACGCTTACTCCTTGGCATGGTTTAGCCAGAGAGAAACAAATACGTCCAAACACAACAAAGGCCTGACCCAGTCTTATGGAAGCAAATAACTTAAGCTCACATACAGGTGCTGGCCAGTAAATTAGAATATCATCAAAAGGTTGAAAATATTTCAGTAATTCCATTCAAAACGTGAAACTTGTACATTATATTCATGCAATGCACACAGACCAATGTATTTCCAATGTTCATTACATTTAAATTTGATATTCATAAGTGACAACTAATGAAAACTCCAAATTTGGTATCTCAAAAAATTAGAATATTCTGAAAAGGCTGAATATAGAAGACACCTGCTGCCACTCTAATCAGCTGATTTACTCAAAACACCTGCAAAGGCCTTTAAAAGGTCCCTCAGTCTTGTTTTGAAGGCACCACAATCATGGGGAAGACTTCTGACTTAACAGCTGTCCAAAAGACAATCATTGACACCTTGCACAAGGAGGGCAAGACACAAAAGGTGATTGCTAAAGAAGCTGGCTGTTCGCAGAGCTCTGTGTCCAAGCACATTAACAGACAGGCGAAGGGACGGAAAAAATGTGGTAGAAAAAAAGTGTACAAGCTCTAGGGATAACCGCACCCTGCAGAGAATTGTGACGACAAACCCATTCAAAAATGTTGGGGAGATCCACAAAGAGTGGACTGCAGCTGGAGTCAGCGCTTCAAGAACCACCACGAGGAGACTCATGAAAGACATGGGATTCAGGTGTCGCATTCCGTGTGTCAAGCCACTCTTGAACATGAAACAGCGCAAGAAGCGTCTCGCCTGGGCCAAGGACAAAAAGGACTGGACTGATGCTGAGTGGTCCAAAGTTATGTTTTCTGATGAAAGCAAGTTCTGCATTTCCTTTGGAAATCAAGGACCCAGAGTCTGGAGGAAGAGCGGAGAAGCACAGAATCCACGTTGCATGAGGTCCAGTGTAAAGTTTCCACCGTCAGTGATGGTGTGGGGTGCCATGTCATCTGCCGGTGTTGGCCCACTCTGTTTCCTGAGGTCCAGGGTCAATGCAGCCGTCTACCAGGAAGTTTTAGAGCACTTCATGCTTCCTGCTGCTGACCAACTTTATGGGGATGCAGACTTCACCTTTCAACAGGACTTGGCACCTGCACACAGTGCCAAAACCACCAGCACCTGGTTCAAGGACCATGGTATCCCTGTCCTTGATTGGCCAGCAAACTCGCCTGACCTTAACCCCATAGAAAATCTATGGGGTATTGTGAAGCGGAGGATGCAATACGCTAGACCCAACAATGCAGAGGAGCTGAAGACGACTATCAGAGCAACCTGGGCTCTCATAACACCTGAGCAGTGCCACAGACTGATCGAGTCCATGCCACGCCGCATTACTGCAGTTATTGAGGCAAAAGGAGCCCCGACTAAGTATTGAGTGCTATACATGCACATTCTTTTCATGTTCATTCTTTTCAGTTGGCCAACATTAGAGAAACAAACATTTTTTCATTGGCCTTTAGAATATTCTAATTTTCTGAGATACCAGATTTGATGTTTTCATTGGTTGTCACCTATAAATATCAAAATTAAACGTAATAAACATCGGAAATACATTGGTCTGTGTGCATTGCATGAATATAATGTACAAGTTTCACGTTTTGAATGGAATTACTGAAATATTTTCAACCTTTTGATGATATTCTAATTTACTGGCCAGCACCTGTATAGCAGCAAAGATGGCATTTAAACTTAAGAGATATGCAAATAAAATGTATTGTAGTTCAGATAATTGGCGTTTAAAGGTGTTGAATGCTTAAATCGGTACAACTGCAGTGGTCTCTAGTAGGAATGAAAGCCTTGTAAAGCCTGATTTATACGCCTCCTTTAGCATGTTTGCACTCACAAACAAACACACGTCTGTCTTTTTTAGGGGTGTAACGGTTCGCGGGGGGTGTTGAACCGGTTCGGCCTGTTCGGTTTGGTCCACTTGCGTACCATTTCGGTTTGTTTTTTCCGTTAAATAATGAAGTTTTATTTGCGTGATTTAAGAGCAGCAGATAAAAGTTCCTGGGCGAGTTTCTGCACACGCGCCCGATCTCCATTTACAAAACGTGATCTGCAAATTCTGATCAACGCCTTTCAGAGCGGATCAAACCAGCTGGCTGCCGCTGCGACTGGAGCCCGTAAAGACGCCCCTCCCTCCCTTCCTTCTCTCACACTGTGCAGGCACGCGGCGGCCAATGCGTAAACAAACACGTGTGCTTAACTTTCCCGCTGAGACGATTGATGTCAAGTTTTCATCCTACAACAAAAAACAAGGAGTGGAGGAAGCTTGTTATTTAATACGAGTTTAAAGAAGAAACTCTGGGCGGTGTGAGGCGACTTTTTAAGGCTCGCTGCAGGAATAAAAACACGAGCATCAACAGTCAAACAACACTTGTCTGTATGAACGTGACGCTCATAGCTGCGCAAATAACCTGTGAAATAATTAAAGGCGTCATGCTAGATCAGCGGCCTGTGATGACACCTGGTTCTGCTCACTATAGGAGCCGCTTCAGATTTTAAATAAATAAATACAATAATAATATACCAAAAATGTATTGAAATGAGCTCTTCAAAACACTGAACCGAACGGAGTACAAATTTTGCGGACCGTTACACCCCAAGTGTTGATGGAGACATTTTCCTTTTATACTTCTCCGTTGGTGTGTTTGTGTTGTTGAGCAGTTTACCTCCAGGACAGCAGAGGGGTGTAGCGCTTTTCTGGGTTATCCTGCCAGTCAAGTCTCTGGTGTGTTTATGTATTTCAGAGATTTTTTAACACAAACAAATTTGTCCTCCACCTCTTCATCCAGTCGCCACCTCTAAATTCACATTTCCTGTGATTTCCTGACACGAATAAAACGTTTACTGAACATCTCTGTACTCCTTCAGTCACGGGTAGATTAACGTTTAGATCGTCAAAGTTTTTCCACAAGAAGTTTTTCAATCTGTTTTGTGTCTACCACTAGATATGTTTGGCTCTCTTTTTTTTTTTTTAGGGGGAATGGTGGTACTGTTGACGAAGGAAGGAAGCAGTTTTCTGACCAATCACAGGCTTGTGGCCTCCACTGCTTTCATACTGGTCCTTGCAAGCCTGTTGGAGAGCCCCTGCGATGACAAATAATGGCGTTGCATGTCTCCGTACTGACACAGACGAAGAAGTATAAACTAGGCTTCAGGTGTACTCAGGTGGAGGGAGGCTCAGATGTGTCTGACTCGGGAAGTACAAGTCAGCTGGAGGAGAAAGTAGCTTCAGATGGCAGGATCAGGACTCTTATTTCCTGACTTTTGGACATCTTGCCTCTGACTGGATAACAGCAATGTGACACTGACTCAGTTTGCTCTGCGACATTGATGTTTTATCTCCACAACAAACACGAGCCTGGTAGAGTCCTGCCATGTGGTGGAGTTGCTAATGCTAATGGTTAGCTTCTTCTAAGCAAGATGTTGTTTGCTGTTTCCTGGACGCTAAACCAACAGCAACCTTTGTCGTCATGAGTCAAGGTGGGTGAGTCCATGAACATTAAGGGACAGTGTGACATAGATCTGTCAAGATTTTCACATCCTAGAGTTTCACCATTTATTTTCAGAAAACTAATCAGAAACTAATGCAGGACATAGGTGTAGGAGACGATTTTCATGTTCAGCCTGCATGAAAATCTCTGAGTGATAGATTATAATCAGAAATAATAATTTAAAAACTTTCGTTATTCAGTGTTCAACACCTTTAAATTCATATGTAATTTAACAAATAATTCAATTAACTAGAAATAGCCTTTGGATAAAACATATTAATACTCTAACAGGAGTATTTGAAGAATGGTTTTCAGGCCTATAGATGGTAGTGGATGCTTGGTAGATTGGTATCACTGCAGCGTATATTTGTGGCCCACGGTCTTACCTCTTTATCGGTTTTGAGGATGTTCTCTGTGGCGACAGGGCTAACAGCTGTGCCCAAAGGCTTGACCACAGCATTTGCCACCTCCGTGCCCACACTGGTGGGATAAGAGTGTAGAACACTGAGGTGGCCCTGGTCACTTTGCACCACTAACTGCAACGAGCGCCACTCGGAGTACATGCTGCTGATGTCTGTTGCTCTCTACTCACACCTCCTGCCTCCCACCTGCAGACACACAAATAAAGGGTTACTTTATATAATTTTAAGCTAGAAAAAATGCTAATCAATTAGGTATTTAGTCCAAATTCTAGCACCAATTCAGCTGAGACACTTGCAAAGGGAATAGTTTTTTTTAAATATGTCATTGCACTGCTGACAAAGACTTAAACTAGTTTAACAGGTTTCTGTATACAATCTCGCGTGGCTACACACACCTAACATACAAGCTCAAAATATGAGAAAAGTATTACAGTATAATAGTGAACCAATCGACAGACTCCGATTCAAGCTCAATAACAGCGATGGAACAAAATAAAATGTTAAATGACTTTGAGATTAACCATTTGACAGTAAAAAGACTAGACTATTGCTTACGTTTCGTTCTCATTTTCACGTAAAATTCGCATAAAACATAAAATACCTATTGGGTGCGATTGTCCAGAAAGTTTAGAGTAGCTAAAGAAGTCTACCGACGGGGATGTTAACAAGCAAACGAATGACGACCAGGAAACGGATTTTAGATGTAGTGTTAGCTAGCGTTACCTAGCATAAAAACATCTTCCTCATCCTGCTAGTAACATTACCTAAAGTTAGCGGCTGGGTTGCTAAAATGTTTGCCGAAAGTGTCAAATTGTCATATCTGATCAAAACAGGTGTCTCTACGCGTTCCCTCATAATTTATTTTATTATACGCTGTGCTTAAATCTTCGCTACCAGCTAGGCAGGGTTCGCTGTGTTAGCTTCTTCGTTGACATTAGCTCGCTGTCTGTCCAACTTTACAAAGATAGTAGCGTATGTTTGCAAGCTAAGTAAGTTGATTTTTATTTTTACCTGAAACAGTTGGAGACGTTTTCATAACAGAGCTGTAAAAACTCACAGGTAGTGCTTTATGTGTGACCTGGTCTAGAGCAAAACAGCCTCCATCGTCGCAATGTCAGGGTTTGACTGGCTAACGGAAACAGAATTTGGTGTTGTGCTGAAAAAAGTAACCCCATCGAAGGAAGCATATTTCAAAGTATTTTTGCGGCAAAATGACTTCTTAAAACAAAATATATGAAAATAATTCTAATATCTAAGATCAACTTGTGCGATAAAAACTTTTGTGACGTGGAGTGTGAGGTGAATGCTAAAAGAATGCCATAAAATTCATATTTTTAGCTAGCACAAATAAATCAAGCAATTGTAAGTACATGTGCATTTTATACTGGGGGTGAGGGAGGACAAAAGCCTGTTTTTGTCTAATTTCAAGTTTACATACATTTTTTTAAACGAAAATGTCCATTTCCACGACGTGAATGCTTTGACGAGCGTGGAAACATTTTCCGACACAACACCGGGTGGTAAACGCCCCCTAATGTTTGTTACAGCAAATGTGCCTGGAGGTGGACGTTTGGGGGTAAAAGCCGGGGAGAGTCAAAAATGTAAAATGATCTTTTTTCTAAAATCTGTATTTATGAATTAATTTACCTGTTTCGCTTCTGGTCTTCGTTGGAAGAAAATCTGAACCATCTTGATTCCAGTGACATAAACCCTTCAAGAACATATTTGTGTTCTCTTGAAGTTTAAACTTACTGTGCATTTAGGATACAAATTAGTAGATCCAGCTGGTGGCAATCTGGGTGGTGCATGTAAGTTTGCTCAGGACTTTGTATATTTATGCAAATACAGTTATGCAAAAATGGACATTCAGTCCAACTACGGTTTTTTCTTTCTCTACTTCCCCTGCTGTGCACTGCAGAGGAAAACCTTGAGACAGAAAAACTGCCTGTTATATGATGAAAATACCACAACATTGAAGGATGCTCTACAAAAAATAATGTGAAATCTGCAGTGTAATTTTTTTATTGCAGGGTAGACAAATGTTTCACCTCTAGTGAAAAAAAATACTGAGTTTTTCCATGCTGAGCAGCGCTTAATTCAAATTTTGTGGGGTTTTATGGGACGGGCGGATTTACCAAAAAAAAAGAAGATAAGATTGAAAACTCCAGACTGCAGCTTTAATGCAGGGGCATCCAAACAAGACAAGGGCCAAAATCACACATACAACAAACATACATGTTAACTGGTTTTATTGAAAGCTTGTGATAGATTTCAGCCAGATTTCAACAGAAAGCAACAAACAGCGAGTATGACAGTAGGGGGCAGCAAAGATTAGCTGTGAATTGGTAACGGTCTTATAATGTAAACAGTTCATCTGTGGATACTCCAAGGTGTTAATCCTCTTAATTACATAATTCTCAATACATACATAAAAATATGGATTAATATTCATCAGAGCAATAACTCTCAGTTACAAGCATCTGTATTATACAAAGAATCTCTATAAGAACACATGATTGGTCAGATTGAAGGCTCCTGATGTTCATAAACTTGTTTTAATGTTGACCGCTCTGGTGTACACAAATAAGTTTTCAATACATCCTGTAAAGAGACGCAGGACATAAGTATATGTTTACAACATTATTTATAGTAAATGGGTGTCAGATGTTCTGTGTTAGCAGGGTTATTGGACACATGGTGAGCATGTGTTGTGAAGCCTTTCTCCAAAACAAGCCCAAAAAAAAAACCATCAACAGTCCCAGCTTGCCTTGCTTAGAAACTGCAAACGAGACACGACACATTAAAATAATCTTTGGAGTGGTGAATTTGACACAAGCAACAGGTGAAACCCAGATGTGACAACAAACGCAGAAGAGCAGATAATACTTTGTGTTGCAGAACTTAAACAGCCAACATGTGGCCATATTGTCCCGCAGCGTTCTGAAATGTCTGTGACTTCCACATGAGCGCTCGGTGAGCCAAACCACAATCTCTTCTGGATAATGTCCACAGAGGGGAAAGGCATGCAAAAGAATTATGGATGGAAGTCAGCATTCTTCTCATCATTCTACCTCCATGTTTGGTAAGGTGCACGTGCCGTTAGCGGCTGCTATGACTGGTAGCCATATGCAAATGCATCTAAAGGGAAGAGAAGAACAAAACGCATTCAACTTTCATGAACTTAAATAATTTTTACATGGTGCCTTTGACCAATAAGGCGAATAAAAAGTGTTTTAAAATGCATTTGAACTCTCTCTTCACTCACTTGAATGAAATTCTGCTGTGCAGCAGAGTCCCTCTCCCCGTGCTGTCTGGTAAATGGGTGACACACACACTCGCGCGGAGGGGGGGAGATGTGCGAGTCGTGTTGTCAGAGAATCGGGTGGCAAATAGAAGGAGGAGCGCTGGCTGGGGATTGCGTTTTGCTGTGCCTCCCATGTGAGCCAGTAGCCCTTCAAACCATCCGCGCTGCCCCTCCAGTCCACCTTCACCGAGTCACTCCCCACAGTGGTCAGATGGAGGTCTGCTAGGGCTGGAGTCACTGGACAAGAAAATGTCAGAGAAGTTAATCAAAGAAACGGAAAAATAAAATTGACTATAAACATCAAGTTTTGGGACAGAACTTTAACAGGACCCTACTCTGACCTGATATTAACCCCTTAAAGCAGAAATCCAGAGTTTCCCCCTTTTCAGGAATTATATTTGTTTGTTAGAGATCTGTAAAAATTACAATCCTAACCTGTTCTGCATTTGAATTTAGGCAATGAGTCAATTTTTTTTGTTAGACCTACCCATTCATGAAGGCAAGGCGTTGCTTCCAGCTGTTAAATTCAGAACTGACGTGAAGATCCTCCTTCTCACACATAAAGCTCTTAACAATCAACCTCCATCATACATCAGTGACCTGATTGTTCCATATGTTCCTAACAGAGCACTTTGCTTTCAGACTGCAGGTTTGCTGGTGTTCCCAGAATGTCTTAAAAAAGGATGGGAGGCAGATCTTTTAGCTATCAGGCTCCTCTCTTGTGGAACCAGCTCCCAGCTTTAGTCCGTGAGGAAGACACCCAAACATTTTTATTTGATGGGGCCTATAGTTAAGATCTGATGTCAGCCCAGATCTGGATGAGTGGGGGAGTAGAGGGAGGTGGAGAATAAAGTCGGTAAAGACGGCTCTCCCTAGCCCTGCCTCCAACAGGCCTCCATCTAAAAGGCTAGGTTATCCAGAGTTATCTCTGGTCATGCTGCTTTAGGCTTAGACTGCTGGAGGACACACTGACCACTTTCCACACTCTACTACTTTCTTCTACCACTTCTCTTTAACTGCATTATTTCTTGCTATTTCAGCTGTTAACTTTATTTTCTCTAAGTGTTTCTCTCCTCAGAAGAAGCAACAGTGGAGTTCTGCCGAGCTGTGGTGGCCTCATGGAGGAGGCCATCGACTAGCACACTGCTGCTAACCACTTAGCATTCTCCCTCTGCTTATGACAGTTTACTTTCTTTGACATGGGATGTGCTACTACTAGTTTACCTGTTGAATTAATTATAGATTCACTAAGATAAAGACAATAACGTTTATCTCTGTATGGACCATGTCTCTCGGCTTGCCAGGGAACGCCTTGGGGTTCCCCTGGAGGAGCTGGCCCAAGTAGCAGGAGAAAGGGAAGTCTGGACCTCCCTACTTAGGCTGCTGGCCCCACAACCCGACCCCGGATAAGCAGCCTAAACTGGATGGATGGACTAAACTATTTATTGTCAAATATTAGTAAAACAACTATTATTTTATTATTTCATTATATAACAACATTAAGGCACTAAAGAAATACAATTGGCCCGTGCCACCTAAAGGTCCTCCAACAGATTTTGCAGGTTTTTTATGAAGGTACTAATCCATCTGGAAGCTTTAAAGCCAGAAGGCTTATATGTGACAATTGTGAACAAGGGCTTAAAGATGTTGGACTGAAGTAAAATTGGAATAAATCATCTCAAGTTTATGAAATGGAAAACAAAGATTCATGAAAGAAAATGTTTAACAGTAAGCAGATCATGTCTGACCTTCTTGAGTGCACGCTTTGACAGACATGGCCTTCTGCTTTCCCGAGGCGTACCAGACCGTAACTGTGACCAGGTATGTGGTGCCCGGTTGGAGCTCTGTCAGCAGAGTGGAGTTATGCGTTCGACCCACTGTGCGTTGATGGAGCTTGCCCCCAGGCAAGATGGAGTACTCTATGAGGTAGCTTGTTACCACCTCTGGTTGTAGTGGACCCCAGCTCACTCGAACACTGGTTTTCCCAGACTCTGAGACGGTTATCACAGCTGGGCTTGCAACCTCTGGAGTGTGGACACAAGAAGAAATGCAAGGAAGTAGGAGGTGTTTAACTCTTTCTTTCTACAGTGGTGTAATTTTCTAGTTCCTTTTTTCAAAATAATTCAACATTATGGAGACATTTAGGAGGGCATAACAAACAAACTGACCTGGCTTTGTTTTGAAAGTGACAAATAATGAGTTAAATTCTACTTGGTTAGAATCTGGAGTCAGTTTGGCGGTATAGGTGGTGTCAGGCTTCAAGTCAGTCAGCCTGATGCTGTTAGAGTCCGCAGGCTGAGTGAGCCTCTGATACTGACTCCCACCGGTGCTCGGACTGGTCCCGGATCCACTTCCACCACCCCCTGCCCCCGGGGTCGGAGCCTGACCAAACTGGATCTCATAGTAACCCTTCAAACCGGACAGAACGGGGCGCCACTGGAGAGTGGCAGCTGTGGTGGTGATGTCTCGGACTTGGATGCGCTCAGCTCGGATAATTTCTGTTAAGAGACGGGACAAAGAGGAGAAACGTTAAGTTTGCAGTAAAACCTACACAACAGTAAAGAAACAAGTTTTGTAGAACGTAATTTAAGAAGATGTCAACAAGGATGGAAGGCAAGGCAGACAGCTAAGCTGATGCCGATGGCAGACGGCGACCTGCGGCCAGACTTAGCTTTCTAAATGCATTCATAACCCTGTAATGAGACAACTTTAAATAGCAAACCAAGTGAGGCCCTGCAACAAAATACCCAATGCCTCAGAGGTATTGATATCTGTGATTGGATCTGTGGGCATTCACCAAGGACTACACAGACTGTTTTTAAACAGTGCATTGCGTCTTACAGATGCACTTCATGCCATGTGAAGGGCCTCTCTGGAGTTTTATGGCAGTTATCTAATCCAGTCTGAGCAAGGAGCAAACTGCCCAGTCTGAATTTATAAATATATATAAATGTATCATGTCTGGGATGGTGTTGGAGGATGAAGAAAGGGATGTTGAATCATTAATCCATTAATAGATCGGCCTATCACGTTTCACATGCTTACAGGCTCTCTCGGTGTCCTGACATTAGAAACACTCTTGAGGAGCAGGAGTGGAAATAAGGGGGAGCACGGAGGGGTGCAATACATCTGGCCGGTTCACGGGCTGATGGTGACTGGATAGAATAAACGCCAGAGCCAGATATTTTCATCTATATGTAAATCGTTTTCTCTTGTTGTTAAAGCAGGACTAAAGAGTTTTTAACACTTGAAGCCATCGCTTTCAAACTGGTTTCGGTGATTATTGAAGGAAAACCAAGTTTCCATTGGATAGCACTCCGTAGCCTTCTGCTGACCAGAAACTACGCTTAATAGTTTTGTGGCATGGGTAGGTGCACTAGGGGGAGGTCTCCACCTGCTTTATGGTGATAGCTGTTTACTGTGCTGGTAGCGAATACACAGGCTAGCAGTTTGTTTTTTCAGTTTGTCAACTGTCAATAAAAAGCAAACATTTTGCTTTTTGATGACATCATGGCAGAGCCTGGAAGTGAACGTGAGAGTAATGTTTTTGGAGGTGAAGCAAAGAGCTAAAAGCAGAGTGAACATCGGTGCAGCCTACACTCGTTTGAGGTAGCTAAAGGAGGCTACAAAAATCACGAACTGATGGTGACCTGGCTTTGTTATACTGGACTTGTAAGAGTTAATATTTGTCCAACAATGTGAATCTTTTTACTTCGTGACTTATTTTTGTAATTGGTTTGTGCTAGCATTAGCTTGTGGTTAGCGCTAGCTACAGCAAGCAATGACAAGGTTTTTGTAATTCCACTTTTAGCCAGTAGAAGGGAGAAGTAGAAAACTTTGGTGCTGCTTTAAACATATCAGTGAAACTTTCTACATGTGATGAGAAAAGACACAAATCTTCAAATAGGAAGTTTACAGACTGTTACACCCCTACAGAGACGGTCCTTATCAAGCTCACCTATTATGGCATCCCGCAGGTCATCTGTGATGATGTCCATGTCATCAATATCCACAAAGTGCAGGTGACTTTCCACAGGGGGGGTCACCACCTCCCTTAGCACCTTATAGTTGCTGTGCCCAGTGGAAACCACTAGCACTGCCACGCCTTCCTCTCGTAGCTCAGCCATTGGTCCAGTCACATCTCCTGGTTTTATCCCATCAGTCAACCACACTAGCACTCTGGGGAGCCCTAATCGAGCCCCATCCTGTGATCCAGGTCGCAGCACCAATTCTTTTGCTAATTTGATGGCGTCCACAGTGTTTGTGTCCCCTCTGAGGGGTCTGATGTTTTTCAAAGCTCCCTGGAGGCCATTTTGGGTAATATATCTGTTAAAGCTAAATTCAAGGCGTGGTCTGGTGCCCACCTGCAGGAGTCCCACCCTCACCTGGTCCTCCCCTAAGGAGAAGGGGAGGAGGAGCTTAGACAGGAAGGAAAGCATGCGGGAATGCTCATAGGACGTCACGCTCCCAGAAGAATCCACTAAAAAGAGGACGTCACCCTCGCAGCAGTTCAGCACTGCGGAGCAAAAAACAATAAAACAGTCATTAGTAACAAAAAATAACATACTGGCTTTTTAAGCTCATCTGGGACTGAATAAAACTTCCTCTGGAATTCCTCTTTACTCCTGCAATTTTTTCCACAGGTCTCTTCCACACACCCTCCTTCTCACCACCCACTTTCTTGGAAAAACACTGTCTTGCAGTGATTATAATATATAGAGTTCATGTCAGCATGAAAGCCACAGCAGAAGAAAGTATGAAGCAAATCCAGGCAATTACAGTTAAAAAAACAACGCCAAAACAAACTCAGCAACCACACTTCATAATCAGTTTAGAGCTAGCAGCACATTAAAGGTCTTCTGGCAACGAGCCAAACCAGTTTTACGTTTATCAGAACACGATCAGAAAATAAACAAAATGAAAAAAAAATCAGGACAGAACAAGAAGAAAAACAGTAGTAACAGTGGAGGTGGGGGTGAAGAAAGGAGGTGGTCCATGGGGAAATAAAAGACACTAAATGGCGCAAAGTGTGTGTGTGAGTTTGGGAGGGTGGGGGGGCAGTTCCATATGAGAGGCAAGGAGGAATGCTCGATAGTCAATTTCAGTGCAGAGACACAAGAAGCTGCAGGAACAGAGACAACATCTAAAAAGACATTTTGCCAGGAGATTATCAGATTGTGAACTCAGCAGAAAGAAAATGCTCTGCTGTTAAGATCTCAAGCAGGAGAGAAGACAAATAAACTTGCAAAGGACGGCGAAAGCGGGAAATAACTTTCGGCTGCCGCTAGATTCCACTGCAACGCTCACACAGGCTTAAAATTCTCATTTTCCTTGGATTCCTCTGGAGTGATGAAAGCTGAGAAAGCAGCGCAGCCTACGCACATAAATCACACACACACACACACACACACACACACACACACACACACACACACACACACACACTTTTGTCTCCATCCATCTGAAGAATTCTTTACATCTCTGTTGGACTTTAGAACCAAGAGGCTGCGCCTTATCACAGCTTTCCACCTCCACCTCTGTGGCGGTTGGGTTTTATTTCTATGGAGGCTTCACAGTTTGGGAGTGACGAAGGCCTCTGTTATTACACACAGGTCAGATTTATAGAGGGACTATTATTCTTGATGTGAAAAGCTTTAGTGAAATAAGAGCAGACCTTTTAAATGTTACAGTACATAATTATGACTGAATAAATCATGGATGTTATGGGTTTTGCTGAACAGATGTGCAAAAACAAAATATATAAGCTCCAGATATTGGTACCTCTAAGGGGTAGCCAGAGGTGGCCAAGGCCCCCTCTGGGACATTACTGCCCCCCCCTCCTCCAAAAAAAAAGCCCCACCCCACTTTAATGTATCAAATATAACTTTAGACAACCATTCATTCATCTTCTTTAATCAAGACATTATTCTAAAACCAAATAAATAAACAAATAAATAATTATGTGTTGCTGCTGTTCACCATTTATGAGAAAGGCATAATTATCAATAGCTTTTGTGGATGCTTCTTCAGACAGCAACGGGTGAATTAAGGTGTTCTGAAATGCTAAAAAAATAAATGTTGAAACACTAATAATTATAAGTGAAATGTTTTTTCTAAAAATGTTTTAGTTTCTTAACTTTGAGATAAGTGTGTCGTTTTTTTAAAGCAGAAAGCATTTGGTGTCAACCTTTAACAGCTGATTTAAATTGTTCTGAAAAATCTGGGCTCCTTTAGCAGAACACGAAGAGGAAAGGCAAGCAAAACATTAAAAACAGTTGAGGGCTGTTTGCTGTAGAAAACAGAAATCGTACGCCAGATCTTAAATTTTATGATGTTATAAATCAAGTTCACAAACATATTATCTTGTAAATCCAGAGACATGCTGTCCTCGTGGAAAAACCACTGCTACAAAGCTTTGAGATTTCATCAGCTGATACAAATCTGAGACCCTTTTATATAAGAAGCACCTGAGGTCATGCCTGGGTGGTCCCTGAATGCTCCCGGCTTTGGGAACCCTAGCCTGGGGCAACAAGATTTCATCACCTGGCAATTTGGATACCTGCCATTTTCATAAAGAGAACCCCACCCTGATCCACAGACTTTTTATTCCCCCTAAAGGCAAATTAATTACATCTAATGGCAACAGAGACTTCCAACTTTTTTTAAACTGCGTTAAAGGTGAATTATAATTTTTTTATTAAACTTTATTAAATGCAGAGTTTTAATTAAATTGATATGATCAAGTCCCTTAGCTTTCATTATTTTTTGCAAAATATCCGAAACTGGTATCCTGATGCTTACCTCCCTCAGGTGCGGAGCTCTGCGTAACCGAGAGGCGCAGGAGCGCGCACGTCACCATCCACGTCAATATGTAGCTATCCATCACAAATAGGATTCAACTCCACTGAAGCAGAATATATCACAAATCGTATGGCTTCCAGGGTCAACCATATATTCACCGCAGCCCGGAGCAGCACACTCCCTGTCAGTAAATCACTGCCAGACGCGTAATTTACGCGAGTTCCATCCAGCGCGCCTTTTCATTTGTCTTCTTATCTTTCCGCCGCGCTGCGCAAGATCCGCCAGGCGCAAAAACTCCGGAGGTTTCAATTAAAACCCGAGAGAGAAACTCCAGAGCGAGTGCGCAAAGTTGGAACGCAAACGCGCTTCTCCCTCGCTCAGGGCACAAAAGGGAAAGCGAACGAATTTTATGCGGACCAGTTTTCTTTCAACCTTCAGAATAAACTAACAGCTGTGGAAGAAACAAGTTGCAAAATTATGAATACGTCTTCCCTCTAAATGGTCAAATATTGGATTATTATAAGGTAACGAGTTTATTTGTGACAATATTACAAATAATCCCAGACAACCTTTTCAGACCTTATAATAAAAAAGATGAATCAGGAGTCCAGTACTGAAGGTCAATGGTTTACAATAGATCACAAACACCGATAAACTGTGTGCAATCATCAAACTTTATGAAATGCACTTTATTGGATTTTATGATGAATTACAAAGAAATCACAGTACTCCTAGTGCATTTTATTTACCATAGCAAGAACTAGAATATACTTTAAAATAGCATTTGTGCTGCAAACAAGTTTTAGTTGTTTAATTTATGCTAATTTTGTCCACAGAATAAAGCTCACATGTATCCATTTGTTTTGTATGCTATTTGTGTTTTAGTAAATACAACATTAAAAGGTAAAAACACAGAAACAATAAAGCTATTTCTGAGGTGGGAATGTGCAGAAGTGGATCTGAGCTCCTGGAAAAAAAATAATAACTCTGACTTTTCTCAGAAGTCAAAAAGTCAGAATTCTTTTTCTTTTATTTTTTTCCAGTGGCCCTAAAATCCTCGTCTTCTGCAGGAGTGAGACCGATTTTCAAAATTCCAAACTAATTCAGAAAAAATATATAAGGATTCAATATTTCTGATAATTGATTTTGTATTTTAATTACAATGAGGTAAAATACTAAGTGTTTTGGCAAGGATTCTGCATTGATCTGCCTGTAAACTATCTGGGGCTTTTATTTTGAAGGCTGTGTTGTAAAAACTTCCGGCTGGTTTCTTGTACTTGACATGGAGAAGCTTCTCCCTCCTCCCTTTTCTCCAGTCTTCCCAGTAACTCAGAATAGGCTCACTAACCAGTTTCAGTTTTCTCTCCAAAAGCAGACGCTGAACGTCTAAAATCAGGAAATAAATCCTCACTTTGCATCTTTTGCTCAAGTTTTACAAGATGAGTCACAGACTGAGATGGAGAAATAAACTGTTAAAAGACCTGTTGGATATAAAGCTTCATAAAAATAATTACTTCGTTATATAAAAATGTGTTGAAATGTACTTTTGGGAACACAGAAAGTTGTACTTTTCATCAAATGTCATTGAAGGTTCAGGAGGAAGTCCAGATGTTTTGTAGGTGAAGAAGCATGTCAGAAGAAACATCTAAAGCAAAGTCAAACTTAATTACTGACAGAATGCTAAAATATAGAAATAAAATAAAAATCCTGAAATTCTAAAAGCCAAAACGCTGTCTACATCCTAAAAGTGTGCACACTTTGTAGATGGCAGAATGTGCATCCATGCTAAAGATTGAAGAGAAATCCACGATGAATGTTATTCATTATTTATTTATGGGGATTCATTTTGTGCACAGAATCTGTCAAAGACTGAGGTAGGTGTATGCGGGTAGGAACGAGAGTCGGGAGCCCTGGCTTGTCTCAGGCATACAGGATAAGGGGGTCCTCATGGAAAAACGGGTTGGAAACCGCTGGTCTGTGTACAAATCAACAAGAACGACAAAACAAAGACAGGAAGATCTAAATCTGAAAAGGAACCGCCAAATATAAGATCACAGATCTTGACTAGAGAAAATGTCGCCTCTGGAAGTGAGTCTCTACCTCAGACAGAGGAGGTTTTGATGACCAGATCCGAGGTCAGATCCATGTGGGATTTCCTCGGAGCTGGACCTGAGCAGAAGAAAACAGATGAATTAGATGGCTGGATGGATGAAGAGTCAGCATGTGTTGTTATTTCCACAGCTCAAGAATCTGGTTTGTGCCTCGCTGCAATAAATAAACCACCTAAATCGACCTGCTTGTTTAAAATGGTAAAATGGTAAATGGCCTGTATTTGATAAAGCGCCTTCTAGAGTTCTTGAAACCCCCCAAGGCGCTTTACAACACAATCAGTCATTCACACATTCACACACTGGTGGGGATGAGCTACAATGTAGCCACAGCTGCCCTGGGGCGCACTGACAGAGGCGAGGCTGCCGAGCACTGGCGCCACCGGTCCCTCCGACCACCACCAGCAGGCAACGTGGGTTAAGTGTCTTGCCCAAGGACACAACGACAGCGACAGACTGAGCGGGGCTCGAACCTGCAACCTTCCGATTACGGGGCGAGCACTTAACTCCTGTGCCACCGTCGCCGGTTAAGACCGTTAACCCTAACCCTGCAACAGTTTTATTCCTCCTTCTGTATCATTTAAAGGGATATTCCACCTCTAAGTGAAATTTGGTCTGTTGCCATGTTCCCCAGAGTTAGATAAGTGAAGAAAGGCGTTTTCTATCCAGCCCAGTCATTCTTCATCTGTCAGTATTCCATTAGCTTAGCATAAACAATGGAAGTGAATGGTAACAGCTAGCATTTTGAGTGAAAAGTCATGAAAATTGCTCAGTAATGATCGTAATTATTCTTGGTGACCTCAATAATCACATCAACTGCAAATGAAAACAACAAGCAACACAAAATAATTACAGGAGCCGATTAAGGCTTGTGATTTTATTACGACAAAGCAACGCTCTTAGCCGCGACTGGGGCAAAACGCCGCTGCAAGGTGCCCAGAACATGACACAGCATTTATTGCCATTAGGGTGAAATTTTGTAAACGTTAGAGTAAAACTGGAAGTGTCTGCCAGACGTCATGCTGCTACGTGATATCCTTACGTCCTGCAGCAGCAGCTTACAGCGGCAGTTTGTCGTAATGTTGCCAAGTCTAAACCAGCTCCTGTAATTCCTTCCTGTTTTCTATGATTTTAATTTGCAGTAAATATGATTATTGAGGTCATCAAGAAAAAATGAGATTATTATTAAACCATAATGACTTTCTCAGATGAAATGCTAGCTATTACCATTTACTTACATTATTTATGCTAAGCTAAAGCTAACCGAATACTCCCAGATTAGGAGAATGATTGGGCTGGTTATTAAATGTTTATTTGCACTTATCTAACTCTGATGAATATGGCAACAGACAAACTTTTACTTAGGGGGGAAATATGCATTTACAACTTGCACTAACAGTTTTAACACTTTCAACTATTCATTTAAAAGTGGGTTTCAGTGATTCTGTAGGTAGAAACTTTACCTACGTCACCTTGGCTCTGCAGCCCTCTGCTGACCAGATACCGCACTAAACAGTTCTGTGGAATGGGTAGGTGCACAAGGGGGAACGGTTTACCCTGCCGTTGCCTTATATAAAGGCTAGCTAGCAGTTAGCATTTTCAGTTTGTCAATAAATAACTAATTTCTTCTTTTTATTCTTCTGTTATCTTTTTGGCATAATGGCGGAGCCTGGAGTTAAAAGTAAGAGGGTAACATTTTTGGAAGCGAAGAGCTAAAACCAGAGTGACGGTTTGTTTAGAACAGTTGTAATTCAGCTTTCAACCAGTAGGAGGGTGAAGCAGGAACATTTACTGGTACTTTAAGTTTGACTAACAAAAGAATTTGCCACAAGCTGACCAAAATAAACTTTCAGAATTCAAACCAGCGTGAGTGAAATTCTGCAATTATACAGAACACTGTCCTTGTGCAGAAAAGGGTAAACACGCCTGCAGCCTTTCCTGTCAACCACTCATCCAGAACTTACACGAGGAGCACGTCGGCCTGAACTCAGCCCTAGCTGGATGAGTCAGCATGGAAACTATTAATACAGTCCGTGTTTGGTTGTGTGCACGTAGGGGTGGGGAGGACACACAAACAAAAAGTTTGTGGGAAAAGATAAATGGATGGAAGAGGATGGAAGAATGCATGTGGGACAAGACAAAAAGTCTCAGTTCCTCTGTGATGCATCTCGTCCAAATACTTCTATTATCCCAGTGAGACGCTCGCAATAAACACACCCTGTGCAAATAACAGATGGAGTATCAGAGCACCCTGTGATCTGGAAGCATTGTGGCTGATTTGTGTGAGCTATACTTCATTGTAATCGTCCACAGTAGGATAGGATGGGAGGCAAGTACAAGCGTGTAATTATACATGGGTGGCGACTCAACATTTGTCCAATTTTTGTTCAGACAAACAAGAGATTTTATGAAATTTATGCCTGTGACCCATCAATAAAGGTTCTGGCTCTGTGCTGTGCTGCTGAAAACTGAATTGTGGATTCCCCTGCTCGGTTTGGATCCATTTCCAGCCTGCTGCTACTGAACAATGACCATGCAACATTCATTTTTCTGTGGGTTTTATGCACCTCCCCTCCAGCTAAACAAGCTTTCACATGTACGTTTTCTGGCTCCTGGAGCGTGCGGTCGCTGTCTGGGATGTTGCTACATTTGGGAGTTTTTGTCCCCTTTCTTTTTCCCCTCTGGCCATCTGGAAGTTTGTTAGACGCAGACAGCATACCCCCCTGCTGGAGCAACTCGTGCATCTGTATGAAAGCAGTAAAAAGCTCAATGTGCACAGATGAGCACACACACATACACACAAGCACAATTCCCTCCATATTTCACCCCGTCAGGCATTGTGCTGCTTGTGCAACGGCCGACCGAACGACTGATCTGCTTCAGATAACTGTAACCCGTCTCAGCATTTGACACAGCGCTGAAATCCACTGACATTTCCAGCTGTTTCCAAGACGTCTCCACTGTCATGAAAGCAAAAATAAAGCTGATGCAACCGAGCGCTGATCTGTTGCATCTCATTTCTGTATACCGTACTTTTGCAGGGATGGCAGTTAGAAGTGTTTTCAGGAGAGAAAAAGTGAAACAGAGCAGGAAACTGCGTGGGACAGGGGAGGAGAGGCCACAAAACAGTGAGCTGTCACTGAGGAAAGGGAAGAGTCATAACATTTACGCCGAGACAAAAAGGCTTCCTTTGGGTAAGGTTTAAAGCGTGAGCAGTCTGATGTACAACCTGCTCTTGCAGCTCGTAATAGGAGCCTGGTAGTAATTACCTATTTAGAATTTGG